ATCAAAACTCCAATCAAAGATCCTTTGGTACAGAAATGTAGACAAGAATTCAGGCTTCAATTCTCTATACAACACTTAGGGCTTTAAGTTGATTGTTTGGCATGCAATCTGCTGAGAAAGTGTAGCCGAAAAGCGAAAACGGACCGATAAAAAGCAACACAATAGAATGTATCTAATATATGGGTAGCACAGATAATGTCAAGAAAAATAGAAATGGTTAAAAAAATAGAAGCGTATTGGAATAAAATTGAAATAAATACGATAAATTGATAGTATCTGATTGACGTCACCAAGATACAAATTTCATCGCTAGTTGTTGACTTTAATATGTTGCCCGCTCAGAGAGGCAGTCGGATACCCCATTCCCCTATCGGATCTGGGGCGCGATCATCAACGCCGGTGCTCTAAAAGAGATACCAACCGTTCTTCCCGCTCTCCGCCTGCCCATTCCCAATCATTGCAGGTGCAGGGTGTTGCAAAAATGTGGGTAAAGCGAAATTCAGACTACAGAAATGATCCTGTGAAGTATGATTTCGGCGATAAGTGGAAGGGGCGGGGTACCTATCGGGACCGCGTGCCAGAAAGCGAGCCATTGTGCACGCGCACAGAGAACGCAGATTTGCTTTGATGATTGTCTAGAAACGCTTGTGACATGGAGATCGAACAAATTGAGTTTGTCACAACGTTAACTCTCGTTAAGCTTTCTTGGAAGAACCAAAACCGAAATCTGACATTTTGTAGATTCGAAAACTGTTAAATAGTGAAAACTTTCTCATCGTTAAACGAGAACAACTGGGGTTTGACTTCTTTTGGTCAATCAAAACTCCAATCAAGGATCCAATCCAATCAAATTTGGTGATCAAGTTCCGATGAATCAAATTAAATATCAAATTTAGTCAACTGTAATCTAGAAAATTGAGTTTGTACCAACTCCTATGCAGTGCTTTCTTGATGATTTTTCATATAAACCAATTTTGAACTAACTAAACGACCTGAGAGAAAAATCTCCAATAAATATTGAACACTTTTGATCTTGATCGTGTAAAATAGATGCGCAAGAATGCTTTGAAGAAAACCGTTTGTTTAGAAAATTCATTTATTCAGTTGACAATCGGATTAACAAGTCTCGTTTCGATGACGGTTTTATTGGATATGCTCTCGAGTGCAATTCCAAAAACTTCAACTTTCCCATTATTAGGTGAGGAAAATAAGCCGATTCAACGAGAGCAAGTCGTTCAAAGAGTTGAAAAAGTAACTCCAACATTAAACTCCAACAGTAAACATTTAGAATCCAAGAAACTCTAGGTATTTATGTGGTCTTCTGTGTGGCGATCACTTCATGCGCTTCTATTGTGATCACTCTCCACTCCTTGCCAAATCCAATAAAGCATCACGGGCCACAAGACGAGAAATTGCTTCGAAAAGATCATCTAAAGTCAACTCAAGAAGCTTTACAGTTTAAAACAAGTTTTTCAGCGGTTCTTCGACGATTTTTCACACAATCGCCAACACTTTACACCGAAATGTCCTTTTTCTGGTCTTCTTTCAAGTTCTAAACTTGATTGGTTTCATCGTTTTCTTGTCATTCTGGAATTGATGGATTTACGAATAAATATTTGGATTTATTTCGTTTCAAAATAATCTCTTACATAAAATCATGATTTTCCGTTTCTGTTCTGTTCAAAATTTCAAATGTCGAGAGGACCATCAGACCAGTCAATATCAAAACACAGTTTTCGGATGTGGAGATCAATGAGGAGATCTTCTGAAGTCGAAATTATAAACTTTAAATAATTGATAAAACAGATTGGCCTTTTGCTTCTGCTTTTCTTGCAACATCATCTCATTAGGGCAAAGACTAGAAGTAACACTTTTTATGTTAGCTCTTGCTTGATTCATCTCTTTTTACAAAGCTGCTTTTTTAGATGTGTTAGGCTTAGGTCACGTGCTAATCTTAAAATTATTCTTTACTTTTTTTAGAAACTTTCAGAATTTCTGGTAATCTTTTAAAGTTTTCAGCAAAACCTCCCCTTTCCCCCAGTCAACCGGCCGTTCTTTGTGCGCACCCGTAATCGCTCGCTTTCTGGCACACGGCCCCAATACATAGCTCACCCCTTCCTGCCTCTCGCCGAAATCATACTTCACAGGATCATTTCTGTAGTGTGTATTTCGCTTTACCCACATTTTTGCAACACCCTGCACCTGCGATGGTTGGGGAATGGGCAGGCGGAGAGCGTGAAGAACGGTTGGTGTCTCTTTGAGAGGGCTACTGTTGATGACCGCGCCCCACATCCGAAAGGAGAATGGGGTATCCGACTGCCCCTCTGAGCGGGCTAAAAATTAAAAGACAAATAGCTCGCAAGGCAAGGTCGGCTAGGTGTACCTGCTTTTTGATTTCATCGAGTCCTGGACTAGTTTATTTAAAGAAAACTATTGAAAAACCAAAATACTCTTTCGCATTTTTTAATATTCGGTTGGGAGCAATGTCCTCTTTCATTCACAAAAGGAGACTGGATGGAAATTTTGAAGAACCACTAGTGCAAGTCCAGTCTAGAAACCAGAAATTACTGGAATCGAAACCGAAATTCTAAACTAAATTGAATACATTTGCTCGGCATATAAAAGGCTTTACTAAAGATTTCAGCGATACTCAACCTTCAATGCGAATCTTTTTACTTTTCCTATTCTTGTCAGGTAGGATATGTCACGTCCGATTTAGACACGACGTTCGATTTAGAATTTGATCCAAGGTCCTTCCTGCGCTCTTTCAACTAAGTTTTTGATATGAATAGGTGCAGAAACATCGATAATTGTGGTAATTTTTTTGTTTGAGTTCGATCCGATAGAAGGGCAAAAAGTTAGAGCCAAAATACTTGTCCAATTATTAGATTAAATTATTAGATAATGGTATTTACTCATTCGAAATTAGTTGAAATTTTTTCAAAAAGAGTATCGCATCTTCGACACGAATCGATTTTGATGCTCATGATGGGTGACTACTGAAAGCACTCAAAGATTGCACAAAATTTCATTCAAACTTTACCTGAACCATTCGTTGCCCCGACAGCCATCAATATCCCATATTTTGCCGAAGGATTATATTGGAAAATCTAGAAAACAGGAAATTCTAAAGCAAATATGCTCAAGGCTATAAAGGCTGATCTTTTTAGAAATCACCTTATCCGAATTAGAAATTCCATTAAGCGAGACTCCAGTGATCCTTTGTGTCACCTTGCAATATGTTTGTCCATTCGCATTCTCCAAGGCGCTCATGCTCAGCCCAACAGCTGTTGCCAAGCTCTGAAACTCTTTTAGTTTAATTTAGTTTTCAAGCTCAAGTTTTTAAGGTCAGAAATGCTAAATAAAAGCTTTCCTTCTCATAGTTAGAACCCAAGGCTGGCATTCTTTTGGACTTAGTTGGACAAGTTGGACAAGTTGAACAAGTTGAACAAGTTCCGAAAGTTTCTAGGTGGTCTGCTGTTAAAATTAGCCTGCTCTTCTACGTCCCTTCTGACTCCAGTAGTGAAATAAGTACTTTGGCGGTGGGACACTTTTCGCTTGCTTAGTCGAATCTAGTGCTTTGAGCGATTCATGTCAATACCTTTCTTTTATTCTGAAGAAAGATATATATGCTGAAGTGATTGATGCTAATTTAAGCAGGTTTTTGATACTCCTATTCGATGATTTGCCCTGGGTCCTAGCCTGCTGTACTTTAACCGCGGAACGTTATCTCTAAGCTGATTACACTTGGAATCCGAACTTGAAACATGTTGGAAATACTCTAAAATTAGCACCAATCGCTTCAGCAGATAGAATTACCACGGAATAGAAGAAAAGTATTGACACGCACCGCACGAAACACTAGATTCGACGAAGCCAAGCCAAAACTGGCCCTTCCAACCACCAAAACACCGTCGAATATTATGATTTTATTCAGTGAATCCTTTCAACTCACCGCAGCGTTCGCAATTCGAACATTCTCTGGCAGAGCTGTATTCCATGAAACAGTCGGGGACATCAATCGACCATTCAACGCCGAACACTCAATGACTGGAGCTGAAGCCTAAAATTCTTAATATAGACACCCGTTGTTGTCTATATTTTAATTTCGCTTACCATGCATGGTTTCGTGCTATTTTTTTCAAGATCTGCGCATGGAGATGCTTGAAAGCCGACAGCCATATGGGAATTGTAAGCCGATTGAGAGGGGAGATTCGTGGTGAAGAGCTCGAGCTCCAAATAGGAACCGGACTAAATATGTAATAAAATATGATATAAGTACAATGAAATAGCTTTAGACTAAATATTACAAAAAATATTTGACTTTCTTGAAGGATATTCCCATTTTGCAAGTCGTTGGATTGGTATTGCATCCATCCGGTGACAAAACACATATCTTTCCAGTCTCACAAGCTGAGAAACTGAACAAAGCGGCTGCCTAAAATGTTGAGATTTCGTTTTTCGGTAATTCATTCGAACCTCTTTGACGGTAATCACAAAAAGTAGAATCTTCAGCATGTCTGAAAAGCTGTCGCGTTGGAGTTTGAATTTGAATTGAACTGTATGAAATATTAGCTCAAAACACAATTTCCTCTTTATAAACCATTCAAATGTGTGCTCTGTACTTGAAAATTCTCAAAAAGTTCTCAAAAGTTCAACTAGATTCTAAAGTTGCCAAAAATAATGCTCCAAAGATCCCAAAAAGATTGCTTGCACTCTTGGAAAACCACTTTTGACCTCGAATTGGCCTTTTTTTCATGAGTTGAAAGTCTTCATCGGTAAATAGAGAACTTACATTGGACAAACATCACGCCGAATATGGTTTTGATTCAATGATCATAAAAATCCTTTCTGTGTGTAATCCGGCAGTATGCTTACCGACAACTCAAAATGTCAATCTCAATTTATTCTAGATTTAAACCTTTGGCAAAACCTGATAGCTCGTTTATTATTTTTTTACCCGCTCAGAGGGGCAGTCGGATACCCCATTCTCCTTTCGGATGTGGGGCGCGGTCATCAACAGTAGCCCTCTCAAAGAGACACCAACCGTTCTTCACGCTCTCCGCCTGCCCATTCCCCATCATCGCAGGTGCAGGGTGTTGCAAAATTGTGGGTAAAGCGAAATACACACTACAGAAATGATCCTGTGAAGTATGATTTCCGCGAGAGGCAGGAAGGGGTGAGCTATGTATTGGGGCCGTGTGCCAGAAAGCGAGCGATTACGGTTGCGCACAAAGAACGGCCGGTTGACTGGGGGAAAGGGGAGGTTTTGCTGAAAACTTTAAAAGATTACCAGAAATTCTGAAAGTTTCTAAAAAAAAAGTAAAGAATAATTTTAGGATTAGCACGTGACCTAAGCCTAACACATCTAAAAAAGCAGCTTTGTAAAAAGAGATGAATCAAGCAAGAGCTAACATAAAAAGTGTTACTTCTAGTCTTTGCCCTAATGAGATGATGTTGCAAGAAAAGCAGAAGCAAAAGGCCAATCTGTTTTATCAATTATTTAAAATTTATAATTTCGACTTCAGAAGATCTCCTCATTGATCTCCACATCCGAAAACTGTGTTTTGATATTGACTGGTCTGATGGTCCTCTTGACGTTCACGGTCGGAGTCTGGGGATTGACGTTTCTGTTCTTGAAGAACTTGGGAAGGTTTCGAAAACAAGTTCGCCAGGCACAAGAGAAAACCAGTAGAATCAACTAACCTCAGTTTAATCTTATGGTTTTGTTTTTGATATTTTTGCCCACCCAGAGTGTCAGTCGGATATCCCATTCTCCTTTCGGGTCATCCACGGTGGTTATCTAAAGAAACAACCAGCCATTCTCCCCGATCTCCGTAAAGAGATATTTAAGTAAAGAGAGTTAGTACAGTGTTTTGAATCAAACTTTAAATAAAACATTGTAAAAAGGTTCTTTGATTAGTTTTCTCATGGGACTTCAATGGTCCAGCCACTTTGAGATCACTTTTCTTGTATATTTTGTTTAATCAACTCTTAAAGTAACAGATTTAGAATATTTCTATTGGTACTCTTCAACTTTTTTTTTGTGCCGGCTCAGAGAGGCAGTCGGATACCCCATTCTCCCATGTGGGGCGCGGTCATCAACGGTCGTGCTCTAAAAGAGACACCAACCGTTCTTCACGCTCTCCGCCTGCCGCTTCCCAATCATCGCAGGTGCAGGGTGTTGCAACAATATGGCTAAAGCGAAATACACACTACAGAAATGATCCCGTGAAGTATGATTTCGACGATAATGGGAAAGGGCGAGGTATCTATCGGGGCCGGGAGCTAGAAAGCGATCGATTACGCCCGCGCACAGAGAACGCACCGAGGACTGATGGGGCAAGAGAGGTTTTCAATGAACTTTCAGGAAACTTTCAGAAAGTTATAACCTTTCTATCGGGACAGAAAGCGAGTGATTGTGAAAATAGAATAGTTAAAAACAACGAAAACCGATTATAAATGCAAAAAGGATTCAGCTGTGAATTTGTGCCCATAATGAACTAAAAATGTAAATGTATTGATATGCAAAGATATTCACTTTAAAGGTATGTACTTACTACCGTATTTTCGTATTTAATAGTGCACCCTGAGCGTCGCCTAAATTGCTCGAAATCTTGAGAACCGCTTATCAGAATCTATCGATGTGGGGTCGGAAAATGTAGCTGACAATGAGTTCTAGTGGTGGATTAGAGTGTTGAGCTTCTGGGAAAACTTTGGAAGCCGTAAAATAGTCATCAACTCGGCTACACTAGTGCACTACTATTAGAGAAAATACGATAAATACCGTGTTTTCTCTATTAGTGCATCCAAAGCTTCGCCTAAATTCCTCGAAGCACTCTATCGAAAGTTATAAGCGTTTTAAATTTAAGAGTAGAAAGTTTAAAAATTTAGGGCCAGAAGGTATTGCCTCATAAAGTAATGCCAGTCGGGTGTGGTGGCCAACGACACGAGCCATAGACTATTCAACGCAGAATTTCACGCTGAATCCGAATCTGCTTCCCGTTTTGGCTATGGAGCACTTTGTCAAAAGTTATAAGCGCTCAAAGTTTTGTTTGGGATTTCAAGAATCACGCCCAGAGTCTATAAGCAGTCTATAAGCAGACTTTACCAGATTCTTTTAGAGGCAGTGGTGGCCGAGTGGTAGTTAAAATACAAGGCAGAAACCTCGTGGTTCGAGTCCGCCGTTCTGCTTTCTTCTTTTGCTTTTTTGGATTTGCAAAGTTGTTCCCCGTTTCAAATACAACTTTATTTTAACTTTTCATAAAAATGTTGTTTACTTTTAACTATGAGCATCAAACAGATATCAGTAAAATCCAAAAAAACAACAAGACTTTGACATCAATGAAAATGAGCGAGTTTCATCCGATTAGAGTCACATGTCTAATTGCCTAGTGTACTTTACCAGATGCTTTTAGAGGCAGTGGTGGCCGAGTGGTAGTTAAAATACAAGGCAGAAACCTTCTTGGTTCGAGTCCAAAAGATGCTTATTCAGATTTGAGGTTTTTCCATTTGAGGATACAAATTTTGCGTATTTGTTTCTTTTTTTGTAAATGGTATTTTAACAATTGATCGATTCTCGATCGATTTAACAATTCTAGTAGGCTAGTTTTTCTTCTAGCAATTCGGATTGTACGCAAAGCCGATCCGGAAGAAAGCGTACCAAGAACAGGCTAGTAAAGAACTGATTACATGTTCTCAAAAGTTAGTTTGTCATTCGCATTTTCACTTTTTTACTCACCTTTTTGTCTCTTGCGTTTTCCTTTATGAGAAACTAGTTATTTAGGATTTTATTTTCTCCAATGCTAATCCCAATCTGCGAATTTGCGAAATAAACGAAAAGAAAACTTGAGTGTACAAATTTCTTTTTCTCTCATTCTTCTTTGTAAATGGCTTTTCTTGAGAATATTGATTTTCGCTTGCATCTTTTATTTTCTTTTTTCCTATTTCACAAATTTGTTCTTTCGCCTACCTAGTTTTTCATATCTTTATAAAAATTAATAACGAATTCGCTTTTTTTAACAATTTCTTATCGTTTTCTACTTTTTTACCTCGATATTCTCTATAAAATGAAATCAAAAATTGCTTTAAAATACGGAAAAAGAGTTTTAAAGTTTTGCATTTGTTTTTTCAAAGGTTTATTCTAAGTTTTGTATGGGATGGGATGAGGTAATGCGAATAAGGTAATGCCAACGACACGAACCATACACTATTCAACGCAGAATTTCACGCTGAATCCGAATCTTCTTTCCGTTTTGGCTATGGAACCCTTTGTCAAAAGTTATAAGTGTGCAAAGTTTTGTATGCGTATAACTTTTGACAGAGTGCTGCGCTGCAAAAACGCATAGCAGCATCGGAATCAGCGTAAAATTCTGCGTCGAATCTTTTATGGCAAGAATCACACCCGGAGTTTATAAGCAGATTACAAAGGTTTTAAGAAGCAGTGGTGGCCGAGTGGCAGTGTGTTAGAATACAAGGCAAAGATTCTCTAGTCCGAGGCCGCGGACTATAAGCAGACTATAAGCAGACTATAAGCAGACTTCACTAGAGTCTTTTAGAGGCAGTGGTGGTCGAGTGGAAGTTAAAATACAAGGCAGAAACCTGGTTCGATGCCCCGTTCTGCTTTCTTCTTTTGCTTTTTTGGATTTGCAAAGTTGTTCTCTGTTTCAAATACAACTTTATATTCAAATACAACTGCCTTATCTGGGTTTTTTTTAGAGTGAAAGTTTCGAATGAAAATGGAGAGCGAAATAAGCGAAGAGATCATTGATCTCACAGCGGCAAGAATCCTTGAGAAATGCCGCATTTGTGGGAAGAGTCCTGCGTCAAAAAACTATGGATCGATTGCTTGTGCGTGAGTGGATAAAACTTGAATTTAAATTCGCATCTTAGCATTTGCATCTTAGCATTTCCATCAAAAACATTTTTCAGTAGTTGCAAAGTTTTCTTCATTCGAGTCACGACTTCGGGAGCTTTAACGCAAAAATGTGCTTTTAATGGGCAATGTTTGCTTGATTATGCAATAATTGGTCAGAAAAGCATAAATGAAAGAGGATTTGGTATTAGTTTCAGGAAAAAAGAAGTGTATGTCGTGTCGTTTTGCGAAATGTTTGGCGGTGGGAATGGAGCCAGAAAGTTCGATTTCTATTCTTAAATCGATTGTACAAAGGTCAATGAATGAATAGGCAGAAAGATTTCAGGTACGGCTCGGCGAAAAGGTTGTCTTTTACGTGAGAAACGAGCACAAATTGGTTTAAAACCGAGGGGACGACCAAAGACGGTGACGCTTATGAATTGTCTAAAGGAAACGCCATTTGCTCAACCCTTTCCTGATTCGGTAAAAATTTGGATATTTGCAGTTTGATAACTTAACAAATAACTTGAGCTTAATACGAAGAATTTTACCTTTTTTTGCGTCACAAAACTGGCTCATTCTATTAGTGAAAACTCTGCTAAACACTAAACTTTTGTAAGAAAGATCACATTCTCAAAAAAGGTTTTAAATTCTATTTTTTATAAAGATTCGACTTTAGACATTTACAAGGAAAGGTTAATTGAATAGGCTGACCAAATTAAATGAGCCAGATACTATTCAACCCAGAATTTCACGCTGAATCTGAATCTGCTTTCCGTTTTGGCTATGGAGCACTCTGTCAAAAGTTATAAGCACTCAAAGTTTTTCAAAAGTTTCAAAAAGCAAACATCGACTTTAAAACCGGACTTTTCAGACACAGAAGAAGTGCAGTGGTAGCAGGTAGCAGGTTAGAATACAAGTGGTAGCAGGTTACAAGTGGCACCGAGTGGTAGCAGGTTAGAATACAAGGCAAGACCTGCTGAGTTTCGAATTTGCCAGCTGACTTTTGGTTTGTTTTTTTTAGGTTTAAATGGCTCTAAATGGATAGCTGGCTTATCCATTTAAAGATTTGGACTGAACAGTTATAGGCGATTTAATGTGAATGGTCTGGACTCATTATCTGTATTCGTAGTGTGCCAAATTCTGTACGATTGTGTGTGGAAATAAGGAGCACACAAGCCAATTGAACCTAAAAAAGCAAAACAAAAAATCAACTGACGGATTCGAGCCCGGCAGTTTCTGGCTTGGATTCTAGCCTACTACCACTCGACCACGCCTGCACCTCTTTTGGTTCTGAGAAGTCCGGTTTTAACGTCTATGTTTGATTTTTAAAACTTTTACAAAACTTTAAGCGCTTATGGACAGAGTGTTCCTTAACAGAAACGGAAAGCAGCATAGTGCTCAGAAGGAAATTCTGCGTCGCATGGTCTATGGCTCATGCTATGGCTCATGTCATTTGGCCGTGAAACGCTCGTTTCGTATGCAAGCCTTTCATCCACTTTACCACCAAGTCACCTTTGAGGCGAGTCTTTTGAGTCCGTGAGAGCGCCCTTACAAAGAGCCCCGTGGACCCCTATTTGGCTCCAAATTTTCGCTTTTTCACTCTAAAACTTAGAACACGTGTAACTTTTTATAGAAAGCCATTTTGCAAAAACGGAAAGCAGATACGGATTCAGCGTGAAATTCTGGGTTGAATAGTATCTAGCTCATTTCTAGCACATCCAGTTGAGTACATCCAGTTGAGCACATCCAGTTGAGCGTTAATTGATTTTTAATCAGAGAGAACTCCATCTTCAATCCACTTGCTTTGCCGCTCCACTGCTTCAACAAGACGGCGATTCTATCAACGCAATCAAAAACTTGATAAACTTGCAAAAGTTTTTTTGTCTTTTTTTAAACTTAAAAGTTCAATTTCAAGTCTAATCACGAATGATGATTTGAATGAATCAATAACTGTCGACTTTCCATTTTCTCTCGATTGTCCCCTTGAAAATTTCCTCAAGAATCCGATCCTCGTTTGTCCGCGGGTTCCAGTAAGATATTTTCAAGTTCATTCAATTTCAAACTTTAGTTTGGAATTCAAAGCTCTTCAAAGCCACTAATTCCGGCGCATTGCGTGAATGAGATGACCGTTCGAGCTCTTTGCCGATACTTGGTTTTTTTCGGCGATTGGTGCCGAGGACTGGCCGAATTTCCGCAGTTAGACGAAGATGATCAGGTGAAAAGCTCATAGCTTGCGTAGACAGAGATGCTTATCGACATTAGCAAGCCAATATAAACAAACGACTGCCCTTACTTTTTGCGCTTTCCAGATGAACTTCTTTGCTCGAAATTTCTCGATTTTCATCCGACTTCAGGACTATTACACGACGTTTAAAAATCGATTTGACGATGGGCTCATTACGATTTTTGGGATAAGAGTTACGACTAAAGAATTGACATGTTTCGAGCGGTAGGTTTTCGTTTACCAACTCAGAATCAGCTTAATTTTAGCTCAAAGGAAACCTATCAGTATCACATCCATTGTGGAGTGAATATCGTGATTCCTTGTATGAAAAAGACTCAAATGGAAGATGAGGAGTTCACTCTCATCAGAAATATCGTCATTTTTAGCTCTTGTTCGCTTGTTTTTAGTTTTTTTTTATTAAAATCTAAACGTTCAGCTCTCGGCTTTAAAGAGAAAAGCTCGGAAATCATTCGAAAGGCATACAAAAAGTATTCGAATATGTTGCTTGTGGTTAGTTGCATTTAATCAATGAAAAAGCACCAAAAAAATAAGATTCTATATTTAAATTTGAAATTTAACCCCAAAACTATGGATTTTATCGATTAATTTTATCGATTTCAGCATCTAAAATCAAAATATCATGACGAAAAGATTGTGATCTCAAAGTTCAACGATCTAATGACCATTCCTGGATGCATGCAGGTAAGATACCGTAACTACTGTAATAGTACTCCACCCCCATAATGACGGTGCGGAGTGTTGCGTAGTCTAGCTTTGAACGAGTTTTTCTCGACACTGGTTTAAGCTACAGTGTTCGTTTGAATATCAAAAAATAGCTGAAATTCAGGGCTATTTTTTGATACCTAAACGAGTATTGTAGCATAGACCAGTGTCGAGAAAAACTCGTCCAAAGCTAGACTACCGTAAATACTGTAATAGTACCCCACCCGCATAATGACGGTGCGGAGTGTTGCGTAGTCTAGCTTTGAACGAGTGTTTCTCGACACTGGTTTATGCTACAATGCGCGCTTAAGTATCAAAAAAGCCCTGAGTTTCAGCTATTTTTTGATACCAAAGACGCATTTTTTGAAAGTACGAGCGCTTTAAAAAAAATGAAATACGCGACTACGCGACTGTACGAGGGGAGTGGGGTACTATTACAGTATTTTACAGTATTACGATCTAATGACCATTCCCGGATGCATGCAGGTAAGATAGGTATTGGGTTGGTGAATTGAAAACTGCCGGCTATTGTCATATGTGAGCTGAAGCCTAAAATTATTAATATAGACACCCGTTGTTGTCTATATTTTAATTTCACTTACCATGCATGGTTTCGTGCTATTTTTGTCAAGATCTGCGCATGGAGATGCTTGAAAGCCGACAGCCATATAGGAGTTGTAAGCCGATTGAGAGGGGAGATTCGTGGTGAAGTGCTCGAGCTCCAAATATGAACCGGACTAAATATATTGGGTTGGTGACTTGAAAACTGCGGGCTATTGTCATATGTGACAGTTTGAGCACTTTCTTCAAAAGAAACCCATTTTGGTGTCAATGGAAAAGTTGTAGAGAATCAAAAATCAAGCTTATATCCAAATTTTCAGAATGATTCAAAAACTGGTTTTCAAGAAATGCCAAATTTACGAATTTTCCCAAAACTTGCAACAAAACTTGCATTTTAAGCGAAACTACTAAGTGTATCTTTTTGGAAATTTGGCTATAAGCCTAATTTTTGATTCTCTACAACTTTTCTATTGACACCAAAATGGGTTTCTTTTGAAGAAAGTGCTCAAACTGGGACATCTCCAGTCCTCCATTTTTGAGTCTCACACTTGTCTCACACACAAACCAAAATCGTACTGTCTATTGTCATATGTCACAGTTTGAGCACTTTGGGATATGAAGGGAGTGGTGTACTGGGAGTTGCTGGATAGCAAGACGACCCTTAATGCAATCAAATACAGTGAACAGTTGGAAAAGGTGAATGAATCCCTAAAGAAGAATAGGCCCTTCAAGTCAAAGATCGTTCTCCTCCACGACAACGCGCGCCCTCATGTTGCAAAACTGACTCGCTCTAAAATAAACAGCCTTCGTTGGGAACTTTTGGCACATCCCGCATACAGTCCGGACCTCGCCCCTTCTGATTACTATTTATTCCGGGCCATGAGTAATGAGCTTGCGGGAGAACACTTCGATTCGGAAGAAGCAGTCAAAAACTGGCTCGAAGAGTTTTTCGATTCAAAACCAAAATTCTACTACGAAAGAGGAATCCGCAAATTGCCTGTAAAATGGGCAGAAGTCGTCAATAATAATGGAAATTATTTGGAATGAATTGATCGTTTTATGTTGAATAAATTTTAGTTCAAAGTCCCGCAGTTTTTAACTCACCAACCCAATAATTCAGAATTTTTTCTATCATAAAATTCGCAATCTTTTATTTCAAAATTTTCAGAATTTGGGTGTGAAAATGAATTCGCAATTTTATCACCTGTTCCTAACGAATCGAGGAAATGTCCGGGGAAAGTTATCGGAAGAAATCTTTTGGCGTTTATAAAGCATTTATAACTTCCAATACAAATCTTTGTACAGTATTCAATTGTGAATTTTGTTACATTAGAATTGTGTCGAAGCTTTAGTGGTACTTATTGATTAGACGGTTCCTTTCTATGCAAATTTAAATTGGTCCATCATATTGATTACGCGGCCCGTTTTCTCAAACTTTATTTTTAAAATTCATGTAAAAAGATTTAAAATTGAAAGCAACAAACGCTTTTTACACTTACCGTAAATACTGTAATAGTGCCCCACCCCGATAATGACGGTGCAGAGTGTTGCGTAGTCTAGCTTTGAACGAGTTTTTCTCGGCACTGGTTTATGCTACAATGCGCGCTAGGTAAACCCGAAACAACCCGAAAAACCCGAAATTGGACTGAAAAACTCTTTGTTCGATTCATTTTGAGTTAATTTTGAATTGTTTTGATTGCTTTTCAGTTCATTTTGATTGCTCTTCGAATCTTCGAAATGAACCGATGAAATCAATCTTGCAATATTACCGTAAATACTGTAATAGTACCCCAGCCCCATAATGACGGTGCGGAGTGTTGCGTAGTCTAGCTTTGAACGAGTTTTTCTCGGGACTGGTTTAAGCTACAGTGTTCGTTTGAATATCAAAAAATAGCTGAAATTCAGGGCTATTTTTTGATACCAAAGACACATTTTTAGAAAGTACGGGCGCTTTTAAAAAAAAATGAAATACTAAAAAACTTTTGCGACTACGCGACTGTACGAGGGCAGTGGGGTACTATTACAGTATTTACAGTAGATATAAAAGATTTAAGATTATTAGAGTTATATAATAACTTTTAACTAACAATTTGTACAAAATTTTGTTAACTTTTTAAACCATAATTAGCTTTAGCTTTTGGCTTTAGTTTCATATTATTCTAGACGCAATTCGCTATTCGATCTCTTCGATTTTCCCATGAAAGTCAAATTGTTGCCTTAAAAACGCGCCGTTTAATCAACATGAGACATTCCGTATGCTAATTTAGGAAAACGAGCCGTGTAATCAATAATTCTCGATTTACTAGTACTTCTTTTTGTACAAATCAATGCGGATCCGATCATCTCATCGATCAGATTCCAAGGATCTCATGTGAACATAAAAAAAGTGTTTCACTTTCATCATTTACTCATTTTTAAACCGGAAATGATTAACAATAAAATTTTTGATAAATAAATGTTTTTTTTTGAGAGATCTTGTCTGGTTTCTTTGAAGATATCACTAAAAATCCAAAAATTCAATTCTATTCGTTCCTAGGTATAAACGGATGTGGACTAGAATTTGGGTTAAGTTAAAGAGAGTGGATCCCTTTTGATATCCCGCCATCTCTAACACTCCGACAACCCAACTCAACTCCTCCAACGTATTAGAGGAGAGTCCCTGTGAAATGACCGACCTGTACTGCAGTTGCATAGACCCGGAAGATACGTATCTTTATTTACAGTAATACAATAAGATGAATAGATTACAAATGGGTGTAAGGGGAAGGGGGGACTCCAAATGAGAGTCTCACTTGTCTAGGTCACTCACAAGTCTCACTTGTCCTCCTAGGCAATCCCAAGGACCGCCCATTCTCGGCAATAAAAATAGATAAGCACAGGGGAGGACACATTTGCATAAGAATAGACAAAACATTCAATAATAACAATAGTAACTAAAATATCAGTTTGGCTCGAAGCTGACAATTCAACTTTTTATTTCATACAAGAAAATAAGTGAAAAATTGCATTAAGAATTCAAATTGATAGCATTTTTTAGCTTTAAAATTCAAATATTTTTAATCACAATATAAAGATTGTAGAGATTAGTTAAACTATTGTTTTCATTAAATAAAACATTTATCATTTTCTGGAAACCTTTGCTAGAATCTTGAAATGAGAAGAATTTCCTCTTCCAATCAATCGAACTATTCTCAGTGAGATTCTTGAGTTCGTCGGGTAGTTGTTTATCATTGTCATTGCCATTGTCATTATCATTGTCATTATCATTGCCACTGTCATCATTTTTGATTCCATTTCTTTCAGCAATTATTCTGGTCAAATTTTGATAGTCTTCTTGCTGAAATTGAAAGGTTCGACACGAGAGAACACAATTATTTTCGATGCTCAAAACTTTTTCGATGATTTCTTGAAAGTCAGCTGTTTGACTAAGGGAAAACTGAAGAAAAATCCACTCAATTTTCTTTGGAATCTTCGAAAATGACTCGTAAACACTTTCCAAATTCACCACATCCAGAAAAATTCGTTCACAACTTTTATTCTCGATCATTTCAACGAAACCATTCCTGCAAAATTCGCCAATGGTTTCCGGTGATTGCCAAGAAGTTTGAAAATTTAAAACTAGATTCGAGAAGTTCCATTTGAAGAAATTTGTAGCTAGGTTTAACGAAGAAAAAGTTCTGTTCAAGAAAAGTTTCAGATTTAGTTCACGAAAAAGTCGAATCTTTCCACAAATTTGCTCGATTTCCATTAAAGATTCATTTGTTTTTTTTTGTCCTTTAGTTGAATAACCATCAAAAACAATTGAAAATGGCTCAAGTTTTGAGAGAAATCGAAGAAAATGTCTCTCAAATGTTAATGAAGAGTTTTGATTGGCTAAAGGTGCAGATCGTCTCGATCTTTCGATCCGATCTTTTCGAATTCTCGACAGAACAAGTCCACAAATCTTTTTCCCATTCACTTTGTCATTTAAACGGATTTCAAATTGATTGAAGTGGATCGAAATGTCTCTTTTCGTCTCTTCCGACCCGGTGATGTCCATCCGGAGACACTCATTCTCCCAACGATCCATGATTTCAAACCAAAAACGTATCTGTTTCGGTCTTTTCTCAAAAAGTCCATTTCTCAAATGATATCCCCTCACTTCTCGATTGATTTTCATAAGTGATACGGTAGGAATTGCATGCTTTAAAATCGCTTCTTTTATATTCTTTGGAAAGGTCGAAAAAGAAACTTTTGCTTCGATCTGAAAATGTTTTTGAAGTAAGTAGGCTAGGAACTAAAAAATGAACTAAAAGTAAGTAGGCTAGGAACAAGAAAAATGCATTCAACTTATTAACAAAATGAATAGAAACTTTTCTAAACACATAACATATTGTACCATGCTTTTAAATGCAACTTTGTGAAAGTCGATTATATTCTAATTTATTATTTTTTCATGTTACTTAAGCTATTAGGTTGGCGACATTGAAATTTCGTTTGCGCTTCTCTTTGTGGACTTTAACACTGTGGATGCTATTACCACCGCAATCTCTTCTTAATAATCTAATCCTTCAGGGATCATCAACTCTGTGATAATCCTTCCTTCGTACTTTTCGGTGATCTACTCTTGGATTCTACTTTTGATGACTCCAGTCTATCTGAATGCAATCAAAGCCACGTTTGGAAAGAAAGTGGATGAAGGAAAAGTATCAGAGACAGATCATTAGTAAACCAGAAAGGCTTAGAATTCTTGATCTTTTCAAAAATATTCAAATAATAGGTTTGTTTGCAAATGAATGTAGATAACTTTTGAAGTTGTAAAACATTGATTTGACAAAAATCACGTACTGCTATTGTTTGGCTTTTCCAAATGCCCAAACAATTACGATTTTATTTCAAATAATAGGTTTTGTTCGTTTCTGGGTAAACAATAACACTGAACCAATCTTTGGCTTTGATTTCTATTCAATTCAAAGAGAATTCATGCCTTTACGCTATCAATCTTTAAATTTCAATGAGTCTGGACAAAATCTTAGGTTAGTGACATTGAAATTTCGTTTGCGTTTATCTTTATGGACTTTAACACTGTGGATACTATTACCACCGCAATCTCTTCTGTTTTAAAGATATAATTATTGTGCTTTATTTATTTCTAGTTGAAGAATTTTAATTAAAAAATCTTATAGATGCTAGACGAACTCAAATCTCGACTTCGCATTTGTTGCTGTACGATTTCAAACAAGAAAAACAGCAACCGAATCGCATGAATCACTTTGTAACGTATTTGAGAAAGATGTTATCACTGTTCATCAATGTCAAAACTGGTTCAAAAGAATTCGAAAGGTTGACGGAAGAGTGGAAGATCTGGAACGAGGAAACCGCTCACTGGCTGTGGCAAACAACGATTTAAAGCAGATAATCGAAAGTGATCCGATAAAGACTACATGTCACATGCGGAATATTTTAATTGTGATCATAAAACAACCAAAAACCATTTGCATGAATTGGGCAAGCTCAATAAAGCTGGAAAATGGATTCCACATTCACTAAGCGATGCAAGCAAAGCCATCAGAGTTCTTTCTTCAAGAAATTTGCTTCGAATCTCCAAGAATAGTGGATTTTGAGATGCAATTTTAACTTCTGATAAGAAATGGACTCATTATGACAATATTACAAGGAAAAGATAATGGCTCGACCCGGGTGAAATTCCAAAGCCAATGCCTAAACCCAATTTTCACGGAAAAAAAGTTATGCTGTCGGTTTGATGGACTACCCGAGGCCTGGTTTATTTCGAAGTGTTAATTTCTGGTCAGACTGTTGATGCAAATCTTTACGTTCAACAACTAGATCGCGAGGACGAGGCTCTTCGCAAGGAATTGATCCGACAACGGTGCGATTGCTACAAGACAATGTCCGTCCGAAAATGACGCAAGAGAAGATTGAGCAATTGGGCTGGGAACTTCTAGTTCATCTGGCTTATAGTCTAGAGATTGCCTCGTCTGACTACTATTTCTTACGAAGTATGCGGCCATCACTCGAAAGCCACAAGTTCCAGAACATTGACAATCTCAAAAAATGGGTCTTGCTTTCTTTCAATCAAAATCAGCACAATTCTTTCAAGAGAGTATCCAAAATTTGCGTCAAAGCTAGAAAAATGTTATTGATAGCTGTGAGGAATATATTGTTGATGAATTGTTTCTAGTTTATTTTTACGAATAAATTTTGTTGTTGCTCAAAAACGAAATTTCAATCTCGCCAACCTAATAATTCTAAAAACTCCAATAGCCTATTGAAATCTCTTTCTCACCTGTCCACGATTTCTAGGTCTTTTGCGACAAATTGAAAAAGATTTGGGCATCTTCAGAATAAATAAAAGATTCTAGAAATAACAAAACGAAAGGTTTGACCGATTTCTAGAAATTCTAGAAATAACAAAACGGAAAGGCTTGACCGATCGGATGTTTGTAAAACGTGTTACAACCGGGTTTGTTTGACGGAAAAGGAGAAGAGATAAGCGACGAAAAACCCTCAAATAAAAAAGCAAAGGGTCTTTTTTTGTCTACTCATTTTTCAAAGAATAAACAAACAAAACCTTTGCATGATCAATGCGATTTTCTTTCTGCCATCCACTACAATTTAGTTGAAGATGCAAATGAATACATAGAGCTTTTCAAAATGAACTTTCTTCGAAATTTTCAATTTGATTTTCTTGTTACTTGCTTGCAAAAAGATTAGCATAAAGCCGAGGGTCTGAAGTTATATTTTGAGTAGTTTTAAGTATCTTTAGCATTTCCACTAATTGATCACCATCCGGCGATCAATGAGTGAAATTTTCTGCATAATGCATTGAAGACTTGAAGCTGAGCTCTTTGGGTGCAAGTTTTGATGTGACTTTTCTTCCAAAAAACCCCCATCTCACCACCATCACTCCAAACACCATAGTGCGACTTTTCCGAAACAAGAAAAAGCACTAGTTGATCGATGATCCGTGAGAATCTCCATCCAGGCTAGATAATCAAATTTTCAGCGTTATCGACAAAAAGCTTGCCCAATACTTGCACAAAAAGATCTGAAATGTTTAAATACGTTTTCAAGCCTTAAATGTCGGCGGATCAATGGAGTCAAGGGATCAATGGAGTCAAGGATGAATGGAGTCATGGGATCAATGGAGTCATGGGATCAATGGAGTCATGGGATGAATGGAGTCAAGGGATGAATGGAGTCATGGGATCAATGGAGTCATGGGATCAATGGAGTCATGGGATCAATGGAGTCATGGGATCAATGGAGTCAAGGGATCAATGGAGTCATGGGGTCAATGGAGTCATGGGATCAATGGAGTCATGGGATCAATGGAGTCATGGGATCAATGGAGTCATGGGGTCAATGGAGTCATGGGATCAATGGAGTCATGGGGTCAATGGAGTCATGGGATCAATGGAGTCATGGGGTCAATGGAGTCATGGAATCAATGGAGTCATTTTAACACCATAGAAAGCTCAATGTAGTCAAATTAAAGCGATAAATAGACAAGATTTTGAAAAAAGTAAACTGCTGGTTCTGCTAATTTGAGTTCATTTCGATGGTCTTTTTACTTTTTTATACGACTTATTCAATCAATCTTCAACGTTTTCAAAGGTCTTCAAAGGCAAAAAAGCCACGAAAAAAGAGTCTTCTCTCTCTTTTTTCAGAAATTTATCTTTTTTGTTGTAACTGCTCCATTTCGTGATAAGGATTTGAGACGTTTCTTTATTTTCTTTTTTAGAAAAATCTTCCTTATAAAAGAATTTTTGAGAATATCAACGTTTTGGAATTTTTTTTTGTTTGTTATTTGAATTTCGATGATGAATTCTCTGGTTGACGTTAACTGCTTCTTTTGCGTTACCAGCCGAAAAACCTGCCTAACGGCGGGATTTTCTGGCTGGATGTTTGGCCTGAGCTAACGCATAGTTTGAGCTCTCGAGTCTCGAGTTAGGCCACCGTCTCTCGCTCACACAACCGACCGTAGGGAGCCCGTAGGTACCGTTCGATCCCCCGTAGGTACCCCGAGTTTTGCTTTTAAAATTTTAAAGGTGAGATGCACAACTAAATAAAATTTCCTATCTAAGAAAAAAAAATTATTTAAATCGGCTTACTGGGGGCTGAGATTTCGGCCGTACGGACAGACGGACGGACAGAAGGACTATATAGTAGATTGAATATAGTTTCTTGTAAAGTGTAAAAAAAGAGAAAAAACAATCATTTCTTTCTGAAAAACTTGATAAACGGTTATGGGTTTTTGACGATTTTGAGTTATTGCCTTCAAGGCCCCATAAAACACTCAAAACAAACATTTCTCAACTTCTCCAAAAAGCGATTGTGTTAAAGGAACAATAATAATACTTTATTCAAACGATAAAGTGAAAGAAATCATAGAGAAATGCACAGTGATACTTAATCATACAATACATACTGAAATCAATAAGCCAATTGCTTACGGCAAAGAGCCACTAGATCTAAAGCATCGATACGTTTCTTGAATATGAAAAGCGACTGAATTTCTCGTATGTCGTTTGGGAGCAAGTTCCATAATCTAGCGGCTCTAACGGGAAATGAATTTGATAAAGAGGCATTGGAAGCAAAGGGAATTTGCAAAAGGAATGAGCCACTTCTGGGCCCTGACCGCGGTTTAAATTTGAAAAAGTCTATAAACAAAGGGCTAATCTGTTTACTACGGAGGATTTTGAAAGTTTCGACTAAATCAATGACAAAGCGACGATGCTGTAAAGTTTTTAGTTCAAAAAAAAGCAAGTCTCTCCTCATAAGTAAAGCTAGAATATTTAGAATAGTCAATTTTCCATAAAGCGACTTTTGTGAACCTCCTCTGAATTTTCTCCAAGCGTTCAATAAAGACTTGTGCGCGGGGAGACCAAACAATAGAAGCATATTCTAAGATGGGCCGGATATAAGTCGTCAAGCATTTGCGGTAAGAGTTTAGGTTAGGATGAACAATTGATTTGAGAATACGGCTAGAAACAAAAGAAGCTTTTCGACAAATGATTTCAATATGTTTAGTGAAATTAAAAGGGGGGAGAGATGTGGACACCTAAATCTCTAACAAAATCTAATTTACTAATGTAATTGATAGGAATATTGTTAATTACCAAAGAGAAACTAAATTTACCAGTGGAAAAATGTTGAGATTTTGAAGGGGATAGGGAAAGCTTCCACGTTTTGGCCCACAAATTAATAAGTTCTAAGTCATGGTTTGCATCTTTTACAGCCGCAAGCGAAGCTACTTGAGTTCCGATGGGAATTTTGAACGTAAGCTTAACATCATCGGCATAGAGCCAGATGGAGGAATTTTTTGATTTGAAAGGACAGTTAGGCAGGCCATTAATATAGATAGTAAACAAAAGAGGACCAAGAATACTACCCTGAGGAACCCCGCTAGGACAATCAAAAGAGGGAGAAAGAACATTATTTAGAATTACTTTGAAAGTCCGCTGAGAAAGAAAATTTTTGACGACCGAAATTACAAGTGGGCTGAGCCGGTAAGCATACAGTTTGTGAATTAGAAGATCAATGGGAACAGAATCAAAAGCTTTTGCAAAATCTAAGAAGACGGCTTCTAGTTGGGAAATAGATTTTTCTTTTTGATCTAAAGCTTTGAAAAAGGACTTATAGGCTAAAATAAGTTGAGAAGTTGTGGATTTATTTTTAAGGGAGCCAGACTGCTGGTCAGAAAAAAGATTGTACTTATCAAAATGTTGAAAAATTTTATCTTTTATGATAATTTCAAAAAGTTTTGACACAGGAGAAGTTAAAGAAATGGGACGATAATTAGCGAATATATTTTTGGGCGATTTTTTGAGAAGAGGCGACACAAGAGATTGTTTCCAGTAAGTTGGGACCGCAGAGACAAGCAAAATTTTATTGAAGAATTTGGAAAGAGGAATGACTAGCACTTTATGTAGTTTCTTTAGAACAAAATCAGTAATTTTGTCTGGACTAGGCGATTTTTTGGGTCTCAACTTTTTGAAAGCAGCTTCGATGTCACTAGCTGTAAGGAGGAAATCGGCTTGTGGTGGAATGGCTTTAGGTGGAAAAGCCGGGAATGGTTCATCAGGTATCTGGTTATTGTAAACACTGTGAAAGAAATTACCAAACTCAAGCACAATTTTTCCGGGATCTAAAAGTGTTTCACTAGGATTGGATGGATCAAGAAAGGAATTTGGAATTTGGTTAGGGTCCTTAGATTTAGAGTTTATATACGTGTAAAAAGAATTCCCTTTTTTGGATTTAATGGCGTTTCTTTCTATATTTTCCTCAAATTTCCGACAATATTTGGAAAGCTTATTTAGTTCCTTATTAACTAAAGGATCATCTGAGGGTTGAGAAAAGTAGGAGCGACGGTAAAAACAGGCTAAACGACTTTTAGCTCTTAAAATGTGCGGCGGGGTCTTTAAAGAAGAATGAGCACATGCCAATTCCACCGAGTTTAGGAGACTAGCGCAAAAAGTGTCATAATCTTGGTCAATAGAATTTGAGGAGGCACAAAAATCTGATTGATTTAGAGAATTTAGTAAACACACCGCCGCTTTGACATGATCAAAATCAAAATGCAAACAGACTTGATCCCTTTTCTTTGGAGTAGAGCAGTTAGAATTGATTTTGAAGCTGATTGAGATGTGGTCAGAACCCGGAAGAGGAGGCAAACTTTGCAGGTCGATTACGTCATCCGGAAAGTCAGAAATCACCATATCTAAAATAGAAGAAGAGCGACAGAAAGTAGGAAATGCATTTAAAATAAAAAGAGAGCTCGTAATGAGGAAACTTTCAAGTGAAATAGTGGGGTGATGGTATTTGTCAAATGCAAAAGAACCGCTGGAAAAATTTACACGAAAATTAAAATCACCAAGTAGAATGTTTAGCTCAGCAGAAACTAAGAATGTCGATAGGTGGTCGAAAAGAGAAGATGTGTCAGCTAAGTTAACATCAGAGGGACGATAAATAACGAAAAAACGGGTCTTTTTGGCAAGGAAAACATCGACTATAAGAATTTCGCAATTAAACTTAGATGCAGAGTAAATTAGCGCATGTTGGAAGGACTTTAGGAGCAAGAAAATGGTACCACCACCATGAGATTTGCTAGAGTCAGATCTGTCACAACGTAAAATAGCATAATTATTTCCGGGATCAAGAATAGAGGAAACAAAAGACTCATTTAGCCACGTCTCTGTAATAGCAATAAAAGAGAAAGTCTTTGATCGAGTCATAGTTTGAAAGAAATTAAGTCGATTATTGCTATTGGAGGCTAGACTGTGGGCATTTGTAAGATAAACACTAGGTAGGATTGAGGAACAACTAAAATCAGACTTCTTCGGGGAAAATGAGACCATTTGGCGTCGGTTGGGAGCTTGAAACCTTTTTATGCAACTTCTTACGAGTTTTTTCGTTTTTTCGTTGAGAAGGATGGGCAAATACATCCTTTGAGTTGCGAAAACTCTTGGCAACTGGTCCATTCAGGTCTGACATCGAGTGGGCTTTCTTCAGGTGTGTTCCATTAGGGAGATGATGACGGCATTTGCCCGTTTTGGTGGTCGACCTCTTGGTTTAGTCAAAGTAACAGGCGGTGGCTTCGCAATTATATTTAATGGTCTTGTATCCTCTACAACTCCTATAACGGCCATCTCGACGTCCTTTGAGTTCCGAGTTGGAGCAATTTTGAGTTGCTTAGCTTCTTTAACGGAGTCATCAATAATGTCGATTCCTTTTGGACGAAAAGGATCAGAACGACGAACATTGATTAGACGAGCGTACCAAGGTAAAAGATCTTTGCGTTGAAGGCGAAAAGAAGACAATAAGTTGGAGGCACCGTGAGAAGAAGCAAAAATCACTTTTATTGGACGAGGATGTTGCAGAGAAAAGATGCCCATTCGATAAGATTGAAGAATCGTAGCATCCATTCCATAGCCGGCCAATATTGAGTCCAGAAGGAAGCGATCGGCTGCCCTTCTTAAGTATGGTGACAGAGAGGAGTGTATATTGGGTTCTGGGAGCCCCTCGACAATTAGATGATAGTCGGAAGAGAGTGTTTTCGCGAAGGCAACGTCCTCCTGGAGAAGTGGCAGCTTGGTGGGTTCGAGTGGCGGCGACAACGGATGAAACGGATGGCGTACATTCATCAACTTTTTCACCGTCATGTTGGGCATTTTTAACGGCATCTGCATATCTCAAACTTGGGTAATTAAACCTTTCTTATGGGCTTTTTTGGGCACCCTACTAGTTCTAAAATTGCAATGTTTTTACCCAAAACTTGCATTTCAAAGTTGCGAACCTAATGGAAATTTTGAAACCGAGAAAACTCTAAAACCCTAAACTTTTTCATATTTTGAAAAGCATAATAAATAAACAATTTGGAATTTCTTTTTGCCTCTTTTTCGTTAAAATGATTCACTCTACATTTAATCTCTTAATCAGGACTTTCTAAGCAAAGAGAGCAAAGAGAGCAAAAAGGCTTAAACGCACAGCTTAAAAAGGACAGGATATTGATTGGGAGAAATCTTGAGAGGTTCTGAAGAACTACTGGAAATTCTGAACACTTTTCCCTTTAATTTGATGTGTGATTTGCCTTTATTTTGTACATTTCTTGGAATTCAGTGGTTGAAAACAAAGCATCAATCAAATTTGCACATCGTCAATCCGGAAAAATGCCGTTTCAGCGGCGGAAAGTGAATAAGGAAGAAATACCGTAAATACTAAGGGGGTGGGGTACTATTTACGTAAATACGTAAATAGTACCCCACCCTTCTCGTACAGTCGCGTAGTCGCAAAAGTTTTTTAGTATTTCATTTTCAGCGCCCGTACTTTCTAAAAATGCGTCTTTGGTATCAAAAAATAGCCCTGAATTTCAGCTATTTTTTGATACCTAAGCGCGCATTGTAGCTTAAACCAGTGCCGAGAGAGACTCGTTCAAAGCTAGACTACCGTATTTATTCTAATAAACGCCGCCCCCCCTCGACCAACTTTAGATGCCTCGTTCTCAGCCCGATTTTATGCTACAGTGCGCGCTTTAGTATCAAAAAATAGCCCTGAATTTCAGCTATTTTTTGATACCTAAGCGCGCATTGCAGCATAAACCAGTGCCGAGAAAAACTCGTTCAAAGCTAGACTACGCAACACTCTGCACCGTCATTATGGGGGTGTGGTACTATTACAGTATTTACGGTAGCTGCAGCAGGCTCTGGACTTCCATTTCTGTTTCCCTAGTCAGTTTATTTCTCTAGAAACATTTCGCATTCTTTTATTGTGTGCATTGTGCATTTGCTCTGAATATTGCACAATCAATGTCCTTTTTCTCGCTTTCCACAAGTTTCTAAACCAAATTTTCTTCTTTCAGTTTGCGAATTTTATTGATTTGTTAGAATTGGTTGAAATTCGAGAATTCTAGACTGATGTTAAACGGAAGAAAATACAGGTAAAAGCACTGTTTAAAGTTTTTTATTTATAATTTTCGTTGGGAATTTTGAGCAGAAGTACGAAAAGAACAAATGCTTTAAAGAACATACGATGGCGCGATCACGAGATGGTGTTCTTGAGGAGATGGCATCTTGGCAATGAAATTCTTCAGATAGCTCATTCGCCATCCATTCCCACAAGCATGCGTTTTGAAACGAAGCAGCGCCTCATCTGGTAGAGGAAACGATGATCTTTCGGGCTTGATGTCTACGCTTGGAGTGTCCGGGAAATTTCTCTCGTTTTCGTAACGCTTAGGAATCCTGTGATCGCTCTTCTTCGACGACAAAGAGTTAGCGCGACCTTCAATAGCGCGTGATGAAGATGACCGGCTTGAATAGCGGCTCCTTGAAGATTTTAAAGATCAAATTTTCTTCTGACTACATGCCTTACGTTTTCCATTTCTCTAATTGTCTTGTCTAAATTTTTAGGACAAAAATGATCAGTTTAAAATCGAGGCAGCACAAATTTCGTATTTGGAAAGATTTCAGATATGTTTTCTTGATCGGTTTTATCGTGATCATCTTGATGTTCTTGATGGACTCTCGTTTCCATGTCAAATCTCATTTGAAGTAATTCTTTGTATGCAACAAAGTCTACCAATTAAATCAAGGGTTTTATATCAAGAAAGTGTGAAATCGTTGACTCAAGAAATGGGAGAAGAAAGAAGACAAGAAAGGAGATCGGAAAAACGTCTGAAACAGAAAATATTTGCTTTCATCCACACTTTTCCGCCATATCATCAAACAAGAGCAAAAGCTGTTGAGGTGAGAAAAGCATCAATACCGATAAGATAAAGTTTTTTCTTTAGATGACATGGGCGAGTCGATTGGATGATTATGTTTTCTCAACAATTCAAGACGATAAGAATCTCACAAACAGGTCAGCAATGATTGAATGTCCATTACGTCAGCAATGTTACGTCCATTACGTTCGTTAAAACAAAACTTGAAAGTTTTCTTTTGATACCGTAAAACTTCTAATATACGTACATGTACGTTTCCCCTCAAATTTTCTTTACATCTTCTCACAAAGTGCTTTCCTTTTCTTTTCCAATCTTTTCCAATACCCGGAGATTCGCCTGATTGATTGTGAATTGAAAACAAGACTTCAATCGGCATCCTGGAACCCCAGAGACCCCTGGGACCAGGTCCATAACTCGGTTACAGGCCCACTGTACCTTCTAGAGTGTACTGTACCCTCTCGAGTTTTAAAAAGAGATGCGGCTAGTTTCTGTGCGAAATAGCAATTGTTGAGCCTTTTGGCTTTCTCTAATATAGAAGTTTTGCGGTAAATTGACGGTAAACTACTTCCCCAGTCACTCGAAGTATCATATAAGGAAGGAAAAGGTCAAACTAAGGAAAATCCTGACGAGAGGCTCTTATTTTTACTCATTCTTTTCGGTTTACTAGATTTTCGGGAACTAAACCAGTCGGCATTCTTGAATAATTTGATCGTCATATCTCATTCAACAAATCCCAAGACTTTATATGGATCTTCACCTTCGAATCTTCCAAACACAACAAGACTAGCCGATTTTGGTTGTGGGATCGAGTGAAAGCAGCTTTTCGAAAAACATACAAAGAAAAAGGGGTAATTTTGGTTACGCAAGTGAATCCGGAGGTTAGCTCGTGCTCTAGAATGACTTCGATTGGTTCATGAAAGCCGACGACGACTGTTATTACATAATGGAGAATATCAGGGAGGTTGGACAAAGTTAAACTTTCGTTTATTGGTCCTAGATCTAGGTTCTTTCAATCTAGGTTCTCTCAATCTAGGTTCTCTCAATTCAGGTTCTCTCAATCTAGGTTCTCTCAAAATACGATCCCAATGAGCCATGGTATCTGGGTGAATTGGTCACATCCGGCTACAAGGTCTATCCAAGTGGTGGCACTGGATATATTCTTTCAAGAGCTGCTCTGAAAAAGTGACTTTTACTTTTTGAAGCTTTACATCAAAATTCAGATTTGTGACGGCTTTGGATGAACCAAAAACAAAATGCCGTAAAGAGTCAGGTGATTTTTGTGATCAGTGAAGTATTAGGGTGATGAGAATGAAATCAGCGCTCACATATCTTTCCAAAAATAAAAGGATTGCAAGCCTCAGTCAATAAGTGTTGTTTACTATTAGAAAGCACTGAATCTCTTCTACAAAATAGTGCAAAAAGGTTTTGAATTGGATTGGTTATTGGGGACTTGGGTGTTAAAAAGTAGCCGCAGTTCGAGGGTCAAACTGGGTACCTGCACCTGCTAACAACTATCGCTTCCAACTATGTATTAGAATCTTAGTATTAGCTCTTTAGTATTAGAATCCCTGCTAGTAAAAACTACTGTATTGAGTCAGTCAGGAGAACCCAAATATCCAGGTATCTAAACTGTGATTTGGGAAATTCTTAGAAGGGAAATGTTAATTAAGACTTTGCATAGCTAGTTAACACAACCTTTGCCCAAAAAGCTACCCGATTTTCTTACTAGATTAGGCCTGGAGAATCTAGACTTTAGCCAGTTCAAGGCTTGACGACATGACAACACTTTTACTATTAGGATGGTAGGAATGAAATCAGCGCTCACATATCTTTGTCCAAAAAAAAGGATTGCAAGCCTCAGCCAATAAGTGTTGTATACTATTAGAAAGCGCTGAATCTCTTCTACAAAATAGTGCAAAAAGGTTTTGAATTGGATTGGTTATTGGGGACTTAGGTGTTAAAAAGTAGCCGTAGGTCGAGGGTCAAACTGGGTACCTGCGCCTGCTAACAACTATCGCTTCCACGGATCTTTTTGCTTGAAATTTTTCCAGTATATAAAGGATATACATTACTCAATATTTATACAAACGACCAGCTTAGATTCTATCGAGATATGAGCCAAAGTTGAAAGTGGCCGTGGGCTGAAAGTGGGCTTTTTCGTTGACTTCGCGTTGGCTGAAAGTGGGCTTTTTCGAAAAACAAAGATTTAGCTCTAGGAGACGAGCAAAGAAAAGGAGTTCTTTTCTTTTATGCTATTTTAAAACAACTTTAATTGGCTGTATTTTCTAACAGAAAACCCGGGCATGGCTTTTACCAGAAACACATTTTCCAGAAAATCGTCATTTTTGACCTTTCAACTTAAAAGTCACCCAAGTCTTCAATAATCAATCTAATTCAAAATCTTTTTACACTATTTTGTAGAGAAGATTCAGGGCTTTCGAACAGTATACAGCACTTTTAGGCTGAGACTTGAAATCTTTCTATTTTTGGAAAGAAAGATAGCGCTAGTTTTATTCCCATAATACAAACAAGTTGGTGAGAAAAAGATTCCATTTTAGCTTTCGTTATCTCAGAATTTGTTGATATCTCAGAAAGCCTATAAAGCTCAGCTATGTGTTATTAGAAAATGCATTAAGATATCTTATAGAAAAAAGCGCCCAAAAATTTGTCAACTGTTTAGGAGAGAAAAGTCGATGAACCGTCAAATTTCTCTAATTTCTCTCGTACCCTAGTCAGTTTTCCCAAAATTCTCTAAAAATCTTAAAAAATGATTTAAAACCTTTCTTTCTTCAATCATTCTTCAATCCATCATTTCTTTCTTCAATCTTCTTACCTTCACGCCTTCCTATTTTCAGACGAAGAGGAGGACATCCATATCGGAAATTGCTTTCGTTATGCAAATTTGAGTCTAATTCCAACGGTTAATAAAGAAGGAAGGCATTCGTGAGTTATTTCTTCTGTTAAGAGAACTTGTTTCTTCTTGAGTTAAGAGAACTTCAATAGACAAAGTTAGACTAGACTCTAGACAAAGAATAAACAAAGAATAGACAAAGTTTGTATTAAATAAAATTCAGATTGATTCCGATTAATCTAAAAGATTTGGTGCCGGATGTTCTTGAGAGAAATGTCTTCACGAAATGGTACACAACAAAGTCTAAAATAAAAGTGAAAACGGTGAGTTTTCGTGTGGACTGAAAACTTTATGGAGATATGTATTTTTGCAAAAATCTTTTTAGGGCAAAGACTGTTGTGGTCCGAAATTGATGGCTGTTCACAAAGTGACCTATCAAGAAATGTTTGTTTATGACTATCTGCTGTATCGGGTGCAGGTGAGTGAACAAAACAAATTCAGCGATCTCGAATTTCATTTCAGATTGCTGATCTTGATGATCTTGATGACTGATTTCAGTGGTTTCATTCAAATTTTTGTGAATTTATCGATTTTCCAATGATCTCTTTCGTCATTTCGTTTTTTGTTTGTATTTGGTTCGTGAATTTGACTGATTTTCTGCATTTTGAACTAACTTTTGACGTTATCCATGTTATTAAAGTTATCAATATGCTAACGAAACAGTATTCTTATGAAATTTGTGTTAAAATAGCTCACCTCCCGTAGAGCCAATCGAGCAGCGTTTGCTTGAGTCGAAAGAGTCAAAAGAGCCGTGATTGCCAATGAGACTCGAGCTGGTACTGCTCCCACGTCTAACCAAAAGGAAAACCTAAGTATTGATATTGTTGGATAGAGTGATAGCATTGTAGATTCTATATGTTGTTCTAGATTTTTTTCTATATTCTTTTCTATATTCTGCTATTAGGTTGATGAATTGTAAACTGCGGGACTTTGAACTAAAATTTATTCACCATAAAACCATCAATTCATTCCAAATAATTTCCATTATTATTGACGACTTCTGCCCATTTTACAGCCAATTTGCGGATTCCTCTTTCGTAGTAGGATTTTGGAGTGCAGTCATGGCTTTATCTCTAAAAATTATCCAGTTCCAGCCCTCTCTTTTCCCTCTTTTCTCTCTTTTCAAATTCATCGATTGATTGATAAGCCGATGCAGCATGAAAAAGCGACTCTTCTAAAATATTTTTTCAATTCTCTATATGTTTTCAAAACAGAAAAGGATATTTTTCGTCTCTTCCTGCTGCTTTTTTGTGTTTTTGGTTAGTAATTTAGGTTTCTTTTTCAACAATAAACCAATAAGAATCGACGAAATTCAAAAATCAATCAGTCCATTGAGTTCACGAAATTCGCAAAGATTTCTTTGTTTACATTCTTCAAGAACATTTTTCCGATTGCTGAAAGAAGCTCGGTTTGGTAAAGGGAATCACGGAATCAGTTCAACTTGTCCCTTAAGGGGAATCACAGAATCAGTTCAACTTGCCACTTAAAGGGAATCACGGAATCAGTTCAACGGTTCACTTAAAGGGAATCACGGAATCAGTTCAACTTGTCGCTTAAAGGGAATCATGGAATCAGTTCAACGGTTCACCGGGTAAATAGTAAACATTAATCTAATCTCCAGAACATTTTTCCTTCTAAAGCAATCTTGATATTGTTTGCAAAAAACTCTAGGAAACATTGAAACTCGATTTGAAATCAATCAATTTACCGATTTATCTTGTTTCTAGGAACTCTAACTGGTTGAATTTTGCTAATAAAATAAACATATTAAACCAATTATATAGGTTGGTTAGACAGCTTCTTGAATGTAGTTTATCGGGTTAATGAAAGAAAGAAAAAAAAGAAAGAAAGAAAGGAAGAAAGAAAGAAAGAAAGAAAGAAAGGAAGAAAGAAAGAAAGATTTAGGTTATTTCTATTGATATGGATTTGTTTATCTTTCTGTAAACAGAAAGGAAAAAAGCTTTTTTATTCGGTACTTTTCCGTTATGAGCACCCAAAATTAGCATAAAAGCATTTTTTTCCTTATTTCGAGGCCCCAGTCTTGCATATTTTCATATGATAATTGCAAAAATATTTATTTGAACTCTCATAACGTAAATAAAAGTCAATGCTTTTATGAATTAGGGCTTTCGGCCGGAAAAGTACTTTATATTCTGCTTTTGAGAGTATAAGTCGAGACGATGTTGATAAAAGATTAAAAAAAAATGAATTTCAGATATTCTTAGCTACAACACACGGCCCAAGCGATCATTTGAATGTTGCCATTGATGAACGAGAAACAAAAACGATTTTGTTTTCCAAAACAAAAACGTTTGAAGATTTGCAAAGCTCAAGTGGTGTCGACATTTTACTACTCGGCAAGTTTTTCTGACAAGGGAATGTTAATTCGATATAGACCATTCGACGCAGAATTTCATGCTGAATCCGAATCTGCTTTCCGTTTTGGCTATGGAACACTTTGTCAAAAGTTATAAGCGCTCAAAGTTTTGTATGGGTATAACTTTTGACAGAGTGAAGCGTTGCAAAAACGGATAGCAGCATCGGAATCAGCGTAAAATTCTGCGTCGAATCTTTTATGGCAAGAATCACACCCGGAGTTTATAAGCAGATTACAAAGGTTTAAAGAAGCAGTGGTGGCCGAGTGGCAGTGTGTTAGAATACAAGGCAAAGATTCTCTAGTCCTTTTTTCTTTTGCTTTTTTTGGATTTGCAAAGTTGTTCTCCGTTTCAAATACAAGTTTATTTTAAATTACTTTTCATAAAAATGCTTTTAACCTTGTTTACTTTTAACCATTAACATCAAACAGCTATCATTGAAATTCAAAAAAGATAAAACTTCGACATTGATGACAATTCGATACTCCAAACGATGCTTGTTCGAATTTAATGTTTTGCTTTGTGAGGATATAAATTGTGCGTCTTTGGCTTTACTGTCAAATGTCTTTCATGTCTTGTGCCTGCCTTGTTTCTGTGCCTTGTACCGTCTTTGGCTTTGCTGTCAAATGTCTTTCCTTTCTTGTGCCTGTCAAATCTCTTTCATTTCTTTTGCCTGCCTTGTTTCTGTGCCTGCCTTGTTTCTGTGCCTGCCTTGTTTCTGTGCCTGCCTTGTTTCTGTGCCTGCCTTGTTTCTGTGCCTACCTTGTTTCTGTGCCTTGTACCGTAGTCAAACTATGCTTTTCCCTTTCACCTTTTCATCAACGATGTTGTGATTAATGACAAAATCTTTGCATTTTAATGATAGCTCTTGATGTTAATAGTTAAAAGTAAACATTTTTCTGAGAAGTGGTTTGAAATAGACTTGTATTTGACTTGTAGAACAATTAACCTTTATTAATTAAACTAATTAATTAATTAATTAACCCAATTAGTCGACTGAAAAAATCCAAAAAAATCAAAAGAAAAAAGTGGAACGGCGGACTCGGACTAGGGAATCTTTGCCTTGTATTCTAACTCACTGAAGCCCATAATTTGCTACTCGGTCACTTCTCAAAGTCTCAAAGTCTCTGGGAAATCTGCTTATCTTTATAATATTTGAAGGTACTTTGCCTTCATTTTTAGATTGTATCTTAATTTTTTGCATAGACTTCTCTCGTAAAAGTTATGTAAAATGCTAGAGTCGACTTTAGATTCGTTATTAAACGACACTTTTGCCGTCTATGACCCGAAGTCCCTGGTTGTGGCAGCTCGTTGTGATTCGGCTAAAGCACTTGAAATAAAAAACGGTATTTCTTTAAAAAATTTGATTTTATTGGGTTAGTGCAGTGAAAATGAGAGACTTTTTCAAAGCTCGTTTTGAAATGATTCGATTTGAATTTGAATTTGAAATGAAATGAACGATTGAAATGAAATTCGATTCACTTTCAGTTTGCTTTAAATATAAAATGTTTATTCTTCGTTTTTCATTTGTTTCTTTCTTTGTTTCTTCTTTGTATTCTTTGTAATTCTTTGTAAACCAATTTGAGGGTGTTTCCAAGCGAATTTAGCTACAAAAAAGTGTTTCTCGTAAAACCTTTTTAATTCATACAGAGAAATTCGCTGAACAGATTGTTCTCAAAATTTGTCTATAAGTTCTTTCTTTCTTTAAAAAATATGTTTGATGGAGCGAAGTGCTTCAATCGTGGCTTCTGGCCAGCCATATATCTGACTAACGCACGAATCTGATCTCAAAAAAAGAAAACAAAATCTTTTCAATTATGGGTTTAATGCCAGATTGTAAAGAAATGTTGTGTTCGCTCTAAACCTCATTCCTCATCTCTAAATTTGGTTCCTTCTCCCTTTAAGTTTGGTCTCTTATCTCTCTAAATTTGGTTCCTTATCTCTCAAAGTCTGGTTGATGCAAATGAAATTTCGGTTTCTGACAAACATTGAATTCAATCAAAATCCCTTTAGGTAACAATTTATTCCAAAAAATAAGCACAATAAGCACAAAAAGCACAAAAAGCACAACAAACAATAAGCACAACAATCTACAACACCCCTTCAACCTTGCTTCAGATTGCGAATCCCCTTATCCAAGAACTCTTGATTCTGCGATCGAAAGTAGTTGGTCACCCCAATTTCGACTTCTTGCGCATTTTTAAACTGGCAATTCGCAATCCATATTTTAAAGAAATGTTACTACCGTAAATACTGTAATTGGACTCCATGGGGTACTATCTTTCCCTCCCCCTCTAGGGTGGGGTACTATTAGAGGGTGGGTACTATTAGAGGAGTGGGGTCCAATTACAGTATTTACGGTAGGTTGATGCAAAGGAAATTTCGGTTTTTTACAAACATTGAATTCAATCAAAATCCTTTAGGTAACAATTTATTCCAAACAATAAGCACCATCGTTATCTATAATACCCCTCAAACGTTGCTTCAGATTGCGGATTGGAAGAGGGTCTTAAACTTATCCAATTTGCTTGTATAATAGCTCAATCGAAAGCTAATTATCTAGCGGATTGAATAAAAAGGACCGTTTGTCAATTCATCAACCTTCAAATTTTTTGCAGTCGTTTTACTGAGGTGCCTTTGCTCCAAAAGGCAAAAAAATAGACTTTACTTGTTTTTTTGTATGGAAGTCTGTGCTGAAACCATGTTTTTTGGAATCAGCCTTAAAAATTACCCTAAAATGTAGTAAAATTGTTGCTTTAGCAAAATTTTTAAAAAAAACTGGTTTGACCCGGAATCGAACCCTTGTTGCTTGGATTACCATTGTTAACCTTTGTTTTTTCGATGTTTTTTGCATCGATTTGCCTCCCTAAAACAACAAATTAACAAATTTTAATAAATAAAGTAACATAAACAAACAAAAGAAAAAGTAATCCTTAAAGCCTTGGGTTTTAATGACTTCGGTCCAGCGTTGGATCCGAGGGTCGAGAGTTCGATTCCGGGTAAAGCCAGTTACTTTTACAGTTTACAGTTTAGGATAATTTTTAATGTTGATTCCGAAAGAGCTTCTTTCAGCACAGGTTTCCATACAAAAAAACAAATAAAGTCTATTTTTTTGCCTTTTGAAGCAAAGGCACCTTAGTAAAACGGCTGCAAAAAACTTTGAAGGTTGATGAATTGACAAACGGTCTTTTTTATTCAATCCGCTAGATAATTAGCTTTCGATTGAGCTATTATACGAGCAAATTGGATAATTTTAAGACCCTCTTCCAAAAAAACGGCCAGAACTTTCCTCTCAATCTAATAACTGAAAAAAAACTTTAGAATATGGCTTTCAAGAAGTCTATTCGTTCAGTGAACCACAAGAAAAGGATTTTTTTGAAATTCAAAAAGGCGATGATATCTACATAATGCCCAAGTGAGTCAAGTTCCTATTTCTCTAATGTTTTGTATTTTACAGAAACGCTTTCATTCAAAAAGATCGTATTTTATACCCAAACAACACACGAATTCACTCCCGACTTTGGCAATATGGAAAACGATTGTCTTGTGAAAATGGTGAGAACTTCGGTTGAAAAATGAACAACTAGAAATTATTGATTTCTGAGGTTTTCATTTTTAACCTTTTTAGACAAACCAATTGACAAAATGCTGAAATTAAAACTGCATTCAGTATTGTCAGGAATTGATTATAAACTACCGGGTGCGTCATAATCATGGGCTCAAATAAAACAGTCGGTACTAACCGAAAAACAAGTCACCCAAAGATCACAAAGTTTTTATGACAATCTTTATTTATAAGTTAACAAGTGTAAAACTCAAATTTCAAAAATTCCTTCGTCAGCGGCGACGCCCGCTTCAAGACGTGAGTGGAAGGGATCCAATACGGTTCCAATACGGTTCCAATACGGTTTCAATACGGTCCAATACGGTAGCAATAACTGTGGCACGGAAGTAGGCAACATCAAGCTCGTTTCATGCTTTAACGAGCGCTTTCTTTAACGAGTCAACTGTTTGATGTGCTTAGCACACCTTAGCTTTTAAGATTGACCCGACTGATTCGATTCGATCATTCTACTGAAGCGGATTAGGATCCGGCGAGCTTGGAGGGCACTCATTAAATGAGATGAAACGCGTAGATTCTGCTCACACCAATCCTGGACTATTCGAGAATTGTGAGTCGGCGCTTCATCTTGCTGAAATACCCAGCTACGTTGATCAAAATGAAATTGCGTTCAAGACAAAACGTCTTGTCGCAAAATGTCCAAATATGCTTGACTGTTGATCGAATGGCACGAAGACACGAGAAGTCTTTCCAACAGCCGTGATCCTTGCCCATACCATCACTAAAGCTGGATGAAGAACTCGAAATATCGATTTGTGTGAGTTGAAAATAGCATAAATTCGATCATTCTACTTGTTCAGCACTTGTTCAACGTTGAATAATTTTTGATTTGTGAACAAAAGTCTCACGAAAGCCGTGTTGGTTGAATCGCCTGAGAATGCCCTCATATTGCTCTTTTCTTTTCTTTTTGCTTGCTTCGGTGAGCCCTTGACATTGATTCTTTTTGAAAGCTTGAGTTTGCGCCACACAATTCAACGTAAGGAAGGCTCAGAAAGTCTCATTTCGCGTGACATGAACAGGACTGATCGTTCAGGGTTACGACACAACCTCTCTCGCACTTTTTTGAGGTTGAATCACTACAGAACGCTGTTTTCCTCGACCAGCTCTATCAGCATTTGTTCCCAATTCCTTGAAGCGTTTAATTGTCTTGTTCACAAGCCTTCCAGAATTTTGAGAAATTGCACGTGTCGAAAGCGCCCGATGCAACGCTATGAGTTCCGATAAACACTCGGTTTGACCATCTCTAAAAAACACTATGTAATCTCAGAAATTATATCAAATAACAAGCATAAACATGAAAAAACGAGATAAAATAAGATAAAGATATAAAATGACAACGTATAGGTGGGAAAAAATGGTCACAGATAAAGTTGACACCGCAACCCCATAATTATGACGCATCCTGTACCATAATTTCAGTCACAATGGTTAGGAACACAACAAAAGTGGTGATCTCGCATTCTGATATGCCTCTTGTGGCTTTTGTTAGAGATCTGATCCTTCGTCGAGGCTCCATTCCGTTCATAGTCTCCGGAACACTACTTGGTAACCTTTTTCTTCAGATTTTGTACTTTTAATTTGAATAACCACTAAATAAACTCAATGTTAATTGGTATAGAATGATGGTAATTGATATAGACCGATGGTAATTGATATAGACCGATGGTAATTGATATAGAATGATGGTAATTGATATAGAATGATGGTAATTGATATAGACCGATGGTAATTGATATAGAATGATGGTAATTGATATAGACCGATGGTAATTGATATAGAATGATGGTTATTGATATAGAATGATGGTTATTGATATAGAATGATGGTAATTGGTATAGAATGATGGTAATTGATATAGAATGATGGTAATTGATATAGAACGATGGTAATTGATATAGAATGATGGTAATTGATATAGAACGATGGTAATTGATATAGAATGATGGTAATTGATATAGAACGATGGTAATTGATATAGAATGATGGTAATTGATATAGAACGATGGTAATTGATATAGAATGATGGTAATTGATATAGAACGATGGTAATTGATATAGAATGATGGTAATTGGTATAGAATGATGGTAATTGGTAAAGAATGTAGGTTGTCATTAATTCATAATCTTTTTACTAACTTTTTTCGAATCGAAACTGTTATGTTTAGACTAAAAAGAACTAATTTTCAAATCGTTCCTTTTAAAAATTGACCATCAGACTCAAAAACATTCAACTCAAAATCTGAGTTACGCTCTTTCCTTTCCTAGAATTCAAAAGATAAAGTCAAGCACAATTTTTATGAAGTTAAATAAGCTCTATCAAAATCAGTTGTTTCTTTTTCAGGATGGTACCGTGAATGCTCAATCATTCCACACACCCGTGACATGGATTTCGCCTCTTTCCACTACGAGTGTCCATTCGATATGCTGAATATCATCAATACTCTTGAATTGCCCTGGCTGTGGCCGTATCGAGAGTATGGACGAGTTGGGAGCTAGGAGAAACCGTTATTTCAAGACACTTCCAGCCAGACGACAATTGGAGTTTCACGATGGAAATTCGAGGGAACTCCACGTTTTGGATCGACATTTTCACCATGTACTACGATGAGAAACGAAATGTAAACTTTGTGTCCGCACTCGCCGGCCTACAAAAGATGAAATACACGTATACAAGGTAGGAAAGAAAAAGAAAAATTCATACAATGGAATACTGGGTTTTTTGAGCGTCATTTTATAATTGTATGCCTTTGGTTAGACCTGAAATTCGATCTAATCATTGGAACTGATTGAGATTAGTTGGGCAACTTCTTTGGTCAAATCAAACTCATTGTCAGCTGCTTTTTTTGGGTTGTTATCGTTTGATAAGATTGTGAACTCTTAATCCAAAGATGGTGAACATAATTTGATAGTTCATCAAAGACATGGGGAACAGGTGAGTCAATAAATAAAAACATGATGTTTCTTTCGAAAAAAAAAGCTACATCAGGATAGCTATTAAAAATGATGTTTCTTTTGAACAAAACTACAGTATCAAGACAACTTAAACCTCTCTTGTTTCACCTTATGGTATGAGACAATAAACCAATAAGACAATAAACCTGATTAGACTCTTTTTTTGTATCGTTTCACATCGGCAGAAACGGGATACCACATGTCTGCGCGAAATAAGGCGAAAAATGCGATCGCCGTTAAACTCGCTCAAGGTAAGTGCTATTCGATGCGAAAAAATGTCCTGAATTCAAATTTGAAAGAATTTTTCGAATCCGTCTGACAGATTTTTTTTAAATTGAAAAAAATCGAAAAAACCACTATTTTTCCATATAAGCGCCAAAATTGCCTCTCTTTTACAGGCTGGTTCTCAGCGAAAAGGAAATTTTGGTGAGCGTCATATACCAAACTTTATGCTCAAGGGTCTTGTGCACATTTTGACACCAAAACGAAATCAATTGGGTGAATTTGTGAAAAGTTGATGCCTTTCGAACGCAAAAGTAGCGTTTTTCAACTTTCTGCGCGATTTAAAAAAAATCTGGCAGACGGATTCGAAAAATTCTTTCAAATTTGAATTCAGGACATTTTTTCGCATCGAATAGCACTTATAGCACATCGGCGATCGCATTTTCGCGCGGATGTGTACCGGCGTGAATAACCTCTGATGATAATAAGGATAGAATGATCGAAAATTGAGGGGATTTTCGAATTCAAGCATTCAATATATTTTGGAATTCAAATGCCCTTTTAATATATCGAAAAGAATTACCAAAATCGTTTACCAATAGGAACCAAATACGAACATTCCAAAAAGAAAAAGATAAATCGGATATTTTTTCAAACTCTTGACAATAACCTGATTTAGAAATCTACCGTATTAGTGGGGTCCCCCACTATTTTTTCAATCCCCTTCCAGACGACCCCACTATTAGAGAGGACCCCACTATTAGAGAAATTTAAAAGAACATAAAACCAAAGTTTTAAATTGAAAAGATATCAATTTTTCTCCGAAATTCTTGACAAAACAAGTTTGGCTTCATATTTTATTTAGCTTTAACCGTAACAAAACATTAACAAACAGTAAAAGAACTAATCCAAGAGATCAACAATTGATGTATCACTTTCGTTACCAATATCTTCTTCCAATTCGAGAGGACCCCACTATTTTTTTCAACCCCCCTCCAGACGACCCCACTATTAGAGAGGACCCCACTAATAGAGTAAATACGGTAATTTGTTTTGAGTTAACTAATTTGAAGTTAAATCTAATTTGTTGAGATAATTCCGAGAATATTCAGCACAATGGTTTTTGTTTGCATTTTCAACAGCTTTAAAATTTTCAGCATCGACTTGACTCAAAAAGATTCTTTTTTCTTCTATCAAGAAATTTTCTGAGGTACAGGACCTCAGAAAAGACTATTTTCTGCGGTCTTTTTTTTACAAAAACAGCAAGCGCATGAATAGAAACATCAAGATCAACGAAAGCAAAAACCCCAACCGCAAAAGGGCCCCAAGGGCCAAAAGCTCCGCCAAAAAAATCCCCACCCCCAATAAAAAAAATGATTTCTGGAAGAGAACAAAAAAAGAAAAAATTCGACGCGAATAATAGCAAAATAGGAACGCAAAAAGGAAGGAAACGGATGCGAACTAGATTCACTTTCAGATTTGATACCCTATGCGCTGTGGACTTGTTGAACTACGTCTTTTACGCTCCCTGTGATCCGGAAGCTTATATTCGAGTAAAGATTTTTGCACAAAACAAATTTCCATTTACCAATTTACTAGTGAAAAAGCTTTTTGAATTGATTGTATTGATATTCAGCTATATTCAGGCAGACTACGGTCCAGACTGGCGAATCGATGTCAACTCGCTTAAATATCATTATGATACTTCGCCAAAAAATGCCGAAAAAAACGGGAAATTCTTGGCTAAAGAAAAGTTTGTGTCACTTTTTTGTCTCACTAGACAGTTTGTCACAAGTTTGTCTCACTTTTCCTGAACAAAAGAATTTTTCCAGAAGCGAGGTCATTCGAGAAGGATTGTGGGACAAATATCCAAGGAAAAACAATAAAAGAAAAAGCGAAAGAAAAGTTTGAAGGTACTTCTAAAAAAGACAAATGCAAAAAAACGTTTTTCTGCTAGATTTAGAAACGTTGAAAACTAGTGAACTAGTGTCCAAATAGATTAAAAAACTTTAAGCTTTATTGCAATCTGCTCTGTGATTCTTTCTTGAGGTTTCTTTTTATGTTTTGGGTGTGTTTTGAGTGGTGTCCCGGGTAATTATTGTGATTTTGTTTTGTCGCTATTCAACTGAATAAAGCATATATATGTCGTAGCCGTTTACGAAATTCAGCCGCTATCGAGTGAGGGTATTTTCGGGCATCCAATCAAAAAGTGACCCACATAAAAAATGTTCATAATACATATATTTTATAATAAATTTTTGAAATTAGCTCATTTGGTTCAGTAGAAAATTTTTTTTGAGCCCCCAAAGTTTAGGTTCAAAAATGGCTATAAAAAATTTTCTACTCAGCCAAAAAACTTGCCTAATAGCTCATTTTGTAGCCAATTTGATGTAGATTCTTAAAGTAAAGCCATATAAAACAATTTTTCGTTGAAAGTAGGAGAAAGAGGGCAAGGAACAAATTCAGGGCAATTCTCAAATGTGAAAACAGCGACCGAGTTCAACTGAAGTCGTTCCTCGCCCTCTTTCTCCTAGCTTTAAAAAACAAATGTTCAATGTAGCTTTACTTTAAGAATCTACATCACAATAAAGTTAAAAGTTAAAGTGTTTTGAGTGGTGTCCCGGGTAATTATCGTGATTTTGTTTTGTCGCTATTCAACTGAATAAAGAAATATATATAATCTTGCAAGCAACCTTGCACAAGTACAAAAGAAAAGACAACATTAAAGCAAAACATAAAGCCAAAGCTTTTCACTCTTCTCATTTGTACAAAAGTTTTTTACTTTCAACTGTTTTTTGAGAATTTAAATTTGAAAAACAAATGTCTATTTGGTTATATTTAAATACTTTATTTAGAAAGAAATAAAGTGCGAAAACGACATGAAAAATGTACCAGATAAAAGATAAAAAAGTCACTTAAAATGCAACGAAGTAGCCCTTTTAAAATCAGACACGGTGGAGATCAAACGCAACTTTTCGGGAAGGGCATTCCAAACTTTAATCACACGATTTACAAAAAAAGCTCTAGAGGATTTAGAGAAAGCAGATTCGGGATGCTTAGGTTATTCGTTTATTCTATTTGGTGAACAATAGGCTCAAGCCTAAAGGAACGAATTTCTGAGGAGGGGAAATTCAACAGCACAAAAACACCGTTACTCTTGATGAAGGCTTTTGCTTGAACGTCTCATCTCTTTGCCAAACTCTTCAACTTTCCGTTGTCACTTCATTGCAAGTAAAGGATTCGAATGCCTTCAATGAAATGAAATGCCTTCAACTCAGTCGTTTCCATCGGACTAAAGCTTTTCCAATCAAACATTTGATTTTAATTTTTAGAATTGTCTAATTCTTCATTGTTTTTCTAACAATTTTTTGAAAATTTTGAAAAAACTAAACACTTTTTGGTGATGTCATTTTGACTTTTCATGGAATCAGGAATAAAGCCGTTTATCAGTATTAGTATTATCAGTATCAAAACTTTACAGCATCGTCGCTTTGTCATTGATTTAGTCGAAACTTTCAAAATCCTCCGTTGTAAACAGATTAGCCCTTTGTTTATAGACTTTTTCAAATTTAAACCGCGGTCAGGGCCCAGAAGTGGCTCATTCCTTTTGCAAATTCCCTTTGCTTCCAATGCCTCTTTATCAAATTCATTTCCCGTTAGAGCCGCTAGATTATGGAACTTGCTCCCAAACGACATACGAGAAATTCAGTCGCTTTTCATATTCAAGAAACGTATCGATGCTTTAGATCTAGTGGCTCTTTGCCGTAAGTAATTGGCTTATTGATTTCAGTATGTATTGTATGATTAAGTATCACTGTCCATTTCTCTATGATTTCTTTCACTTTATCGTTTGAATAAAGTATTATTATTAAACATTTGATTTTAATTTTTAGAATTGTCTAATTTTTCATTGTTTTTCTAACAATTTTTTGAAAATTTTGAAAAAACTAAACACTTTTTGGTGATGTCATTTTGACTTTTCATGGAATCAGGAATAAAGCCGTTTATCAGTATTAAAGGGTTGCCGTTTTTACCAAAAATTCAGCTCTCATTTGATTTCAACGATTGAAATGCACAAAATATTTTTCTTTTTAATTCTTTCCTTTTTCTCTACAGCTTTTTCTGTGCTATGTTGGTCGGATTACAATAAACAAAATGCGATTTCCGATCATGGAACAGCTGGCACGTGTGTTTGTGGATCTTTTTGTGAAACGTACGAGTATGAGGTCAGTTATTCGAAAGATTTTTGTTCAACAAAAGGCTTTTAAAATAAATTTCGCATATTTTTATGTGATTACCGAGTATTTACGGTACAGTATTCAATTGTGAATTTTGTTACATTAGAATTGTGTCAAAGCTTTAATGGTACTTATTGATTAGACGGTTCGTTGTAATATTCGTTGTAAATACTGTAATAGTGCCCCACCCCGATAATGACGAGTGTTGCGTAGTCTAGCTTTGAACGAGTTTTTCTCGACACTGGTTTAAGCTACAGTGTTCGTTTGAATATCAAAAAATAGCTGAAATTCAGGGCTATTTTTTGATACCAAAGACACATTTTTAGAAAGTACGGGTGCTTATCAACTGTTCCTAACAAATCGAGGAAATTTCCGGGAAAAGTTATCGGGAGAGATCTTTTGGCGTTTATAACTTCCAATACAAATCTTTGTACAGTATTCAATTGTGAATTTTGATACATTAGAATTGTGTCAAAAGCTTTAATGGTACTTATTGATTAGACGGTTCGTTTCTATGCAAATTTAAGTTGGTCCATCATATTGATTACCCGACCCGTTTTCTCAATCTTTATTTCTAAAATTCATATAAAAAGATTTCAAATTGAAAGCAACAAACGCTTTTTACACTTACCGTAAATACTGTAATGGTACCACACCCCCATAACGACGGTGCGGAGTGTTGCGTAGTCTAGCTTTGAACGAGTTTTTCTCGGCACTGGTTTATGCTACAATGCGCGCTTAGATATCAAAAAATAGCCCTGAATTTCAGCTATTTTTTGATACCAAAGACGCATTTTTAGAAAGTACGGGTGCTTTGCAAAAAATGAAATACTAAAAAACGACTACGCGACTACGCGACTGTACGAGGGGGGTCGGGTACTATTACAGTATTTACGGTATGTATTTTTCGTTAAAGATTTTACGTGAAAGATCCTCCTATTTGAAAAACTTTCTCAATTTTCTTCGTTCATAATTCATAATTTTGAAAAACGCTCCATAATTTATCAAAAAATCGGAGTGCTTTCCGTTGAATCGGCAAAAATTGCATCCTAAAAAATTTTAAAAGACACCATTTGCTTTTAAGCACTCGATTAGGTACTTCACTTTAGTTTTATCCAAAAAGCGGGTCATCAGCTAAATGCTTTGTGGTGCTGGGTGTGCATAAAAATGCATATGAGCTTAGCTTTGTGCAGCAGAAAAACCACAAAATCAAGATGATATTGATCGGCTTTTTTGGGGTTCCCAAGTCACAAAGAGTTTTTAACTGATTAACATAAAAATAAAAAACAGATACAATTCTTTATTTCAAATATTTGCTATGAGAATACCCGAGATTTTGATAAAAAGTTGGGGTAGGCCAGTTTGAATTTCTTTGCGCAATAGGGTCATTTGGGCAACTGGGTCATTTGCGCAACTGGGTCCTTTTGCGCAACTCGCCATAACTTTCTGCTAAGTGATTTTCTTCTTTATGATTTTGGTTTTATTTTGTTGCACTTATTGAGATCTACAAAATAAATCCAAAATCATAAAGATTGGCCGACCAAGAAGAAAGTTATGGCGAGTTGCGCCAGTGACCCAGTTGCGCCAGTGACCCAGTTGCGCCAGTGACCCAGTTGCGCCAGTGACCCAGTTGCGCCAGTGACCCAGTTGCGCCAGTGACCCAGTTGCGCCAGTGACCCAGTTGCGCCAGTGACCCAGTTGCGCCAGTGACCCAGTTGCGCCAGTGACCCAGTTGCGCCAGTGACCCAGTTGCGCCAGTGACCCAGTTGCGCCAGTGACCCAGTTGCGCCAGTGACCCAGTTGCGCCAGTGACCCAGTTGCGCCAGTGACCCAGTTGCGCCAGTGACCCAGTTGCGCCAGTGACCCAGTTGCGCCAGTGACCCAGTTGCGCCAGTGACCCAGTTGCGCCAGTGACCCAGTTGCGCCAGTGACCCAGTTGCGCCAGTGACCCAGTTGCGCCAGTGACCCAGTTGCGCCAGTGACCCAGTTGCGCCAGTGACCCAGTTGCGCCAGTGACCCAGTTGCGCCAGTGACCCAGTTGCGCCAGTGACCCAGTTGCGCCAGTGACCCAGTTGCGCCAGTGACCCAGTTGCGCCAGTGACCCAGTTGCGCCAGTGACCCAGTTGCGCCAGTGACCCAGTTGCGCCAGTGACCCAGTTGCGCCAGTGACCCAGTTGCGCCAGTGACCCAGTTGCGCCAGTGACCCAGTTGCGCCAGTGACCCAGTTGCGCCAGTGACCCAGTTGCGCCAGTGACCCAGTTGCGCCAGTGACCCAGTTGCGCCAGTGACCCAGTTGCGCCAGTGACCCAGTTGCGCCAGTGACCCAGTTGCGCCAGTGACCCAGTTGCGCCAGTGACCCAGTTGCGCCAGTGACCCAGTTGCGCCAGTGACCCAGTTGCGCCAGTGACCCAGTTGCGCCAGTGACCCAGTTGCGCCAGTGACCCAGTTGCGGAAACTAGCCTACCCCAAAAAGGTTACTATTAGACTTTTGTGTTATGTTTAAAACCAATTAAAGAATCATTTTTTGAAATAATTAAACTAAAACGTGAAGTAAAGAAGAAAGTAAAGAAAATCTATAAGATCTATAGTTTCGTGGGTTTGACTGAAGTTTTGGCTTGATTGAATGCTTTAAATAAAGACAATAAGTCACTATGATCGAGAAAAAGAAGACTTTCCTTTTCAAAGTCTCTCAAAAGGCTTTGTGGTGCTTAATGGAAATTTTTAAAAACTAGAAATTGCAGGAACATTACAGAATTGATCCATTGGGGTTAAATGATATTGAAAATTGACATTGGCACTAAATTCGGTTATTAAAATCGATTCAATCATACAGTTTCTTTTCAGGGAGAGTGGTATTGGAGTTGTGCTTGCACAAAAATTCACGGAGCCGAATACGACGATTGCACGGTCTGAGTTTCATTTTTCAATTTTGAATTCAGCTAAGAAGAGCCAAAGTGTTGAAATTGCACTTTTAGTACTTTAATGGTTGAGGGAGCCGCTTAAATTTTCACTTTTTTACTTCCTTAGGGGTAACCGAGGACGCTGAACACGAATTTGGTGTTTTTAAAGTAGGTTTTCAATCAAAAACCGAACTTTTACCTTTTACCATTACCAAATAACTAAAAAAATCATCATTTTAAATGGGAATTTTATGATTTCCTTATGTAATTCGATGTTTTTCGTATCAGTTTTTCATTTTCATCTTTTGAACAGCGCAAACAGTCGTTCTCGAGTAAGTTTACAATCATTTATAGAGTTTACAATCGTTTACAATCATTCAATTTCAATTCAAATTCAATTTCAATCAGAACCTCGCCAAATTTCGCATTACAAGTGGGTTTACTCAGAAGTGTGAGGATGAAACATCATTGTTTCATTAACAAGGTTAAACTTGTTTTAAACAACTTAGCTTTAGACGACGCCTATGAGCTTTAGACGACGCCTAAACCATCAACTTCTGGCAGCACACTCGCAAGTATACAGTGTATCATTGGGAGTGATGGGATCCTCAACTAAACCAACCGCCCAACCCCACGGTCCTCTTTAGGGTCACAAGCAAATCTAAACATCTAAAATGAAAATATAATACTGATGTCAAAAAGATCGAATTACATAAGAAAAACCATAAAATTTCTCTTTAAAATGGCAATTTTTGAGTGCTGAGTTTTTAAGTGGCAAAAGTTTGGTTTTTTGATTGAAAGCCTACTTTAAAAACGTTAAATTCGTGTTCAGCGCCCTCGATTACCCCTAAGAAATGAAAAATGGCAAAAAAAATGGAAAAATGGCTTCCCCAACCAAAGTGCTAAAACAAATATGATAAACAAAATCATTGTATTTTACAATGAATATCATTTTACAGTCAGAAGGCTTCAGAGATGACGGAGGCTATTGTTGTACGGGAGATTTATGCAATAAAAAGCCACTACCATGTAAGCTTTTTTTGGCAAGTCAACAATCATTAGCAATAATCAAATCATTTAATCCTCTAGATAGCTAGAATCAGAACTAGCAAATGTTTGAAACGAAAAGAAGAGTTATTTTGTTTCATTTCAGCAACCGCACCTACTGTAGCCCCAACCGTGAGCCCATGCTCTATGTGTCAATATGTTGTCAATCAGGTAGCCAATCAGGTGTAAACTATTGATAAATCTTATTTTTAATGAATTTCTCAATTAAAAATAAATAAAGCTTAAATAATTTAATCATTTTTAGGCAATTAACCACTTCAGAACGGGCGAATCGAAGGCGGATGTGCAGCAAGATTTAATAAATGTTTGTTTTAAAACAGAGCTCCTCAACTTATCCAATATTTAGGATTGTCAAAGTCTCAAGAGATTTTACGGAGATCAAGCGGTGACTGACTGCATACAATGGGTCACCGACAACCTCAATGTCATCTATGTGGACCTGAAAAATGGTAGAGGGATTGATTAGCTTTAGACGACGCCTATGAGGTGCAAAACCTTCATCTTCTGGCAATGGGAAACATTTCCAACGCTGAAGAGTTGTTTGTAGACAGCCATTTGCAGAAACAGCGGAAGTCATTATGCTGGAAATTAAAAGAATTAAGGGTAAATGCAGAAAGAAATGTAAATTTACGAAGAAACAAATGGCAAAAAATAATAAAATCTACCCCTCCATAGATTGTCGGATTTTCTTTGCCCTTGGCAAGCCAGATGATCTAGATGTCTAGATCTAGAAAGGTTTACAGTAATTTCTGAATTTTCCCAAAGCTACTTTCTGGCCAGGTCAGGCCAGAAGCTAAGCAGAAGGTCTACTTTCTGGCCTAAAGCCAGAAGCTGAGCAGAAGGTCTACTTTCTGGCCAACAGAGCTGAGCAGAAGGTCTACTTTCTGGCCTAAATCCAGAAGCTGAGCAGAAGGTCTACTTTCTGGCCTAAATCCAGAAGCTGAGCAGAAGGTCTACTTTCTGGCCTAAAGCCAGAAGCTGAGCAGAAGGTCTACTTTCTGGCCTAAAGCCAGAAGCTGAGCAGAAATTCCTTGTCCGGAGAATAAGGTCTTGTTTTCTAAACTCGAAATAGGATTGTATTCTCAAAGTATCATTGGATAGACCGAAATGCAAATTCCAAATATTGAGGTTATTGTAAAATTATTAAGGAGCTCATTTAACCACTGTGTAATGGAATGGATAGCGTGTAGAACTAATCTATAAGGGTGTAAAGACAATAATCCGCGCTTCGAATTTCCCGGTGCTAGCAATTTGCCAAGTGTTTGCTTACGTAATGTTTTGAAGAAAAATAAACTACACACTCACCAGATTTATAATCATTTCCCTTTTCACTTCGCTAGTGGTTTTTACTGCAAAAATGGATGACAACAATTGTAACAAATGGATTACAACAATTACAACAAGCTCGTGCTTCGAGTTGCCATGCTCTACAATTTCCATGCTCTAGTCTATGCCTCATCGACAAGGAAAAACCCCTGCTGAATCTCACCGTTCACTCGTCAAATCTTTTGGAGATGATTGTATCAGTGAAGTCAGTGTCGTCAATGGTTTCAGCGTTTTCAAGACGACAATGAAAGCCTCTACGATGAGCCACATACTAGACGCCCTCTAGAAATCTCAAATGACGATTTGCTCGAATGCTATTGAAATTGATCCCACATTTACGCTTCGGGAATTAGCAGAATTTTTTGAGGTTAACGATTTGACAATTGAAAACGATTTGCATCAACTTGGGAAAAGGTTTGACATGGAAAAGGGGTTTTACATGAACTGCCCCAAATAGCCCAACCGTGTGCTCCATGCTCTTGCTTCAAAAGTTCAAATCATACGATTTCTTCGACAGAATCTTGACTTCTGATGAGACTTGGATCAGTTATGAGAATGTTACTCAAAAAAAATCAATGGCTTTTTGCTGGTGAAGGCCTGCAAACCACCCCCAAGCCCGATATCCATGGATCGAAGATCATTCTCTGTTTCTGGTGGAATTCGAAAGAAGCATTATGAAGCGCTAAAACCTAGACTACTTCCTCCAATCTGCCAATTTCAGCAACGTTGGGCTCGGTTAATACCTGGATCGGAGAATTGGGATGAGAATCCCGAGCGAGCCCAACCGTGTGCTCCATTTTGCTTCAAAAGTTCAAATCACCCGATTTCTTCGACAGAATCTTGACTTCTGATGAGACTTGGATCAGTTATGACAATGTTACTCAAAAAAAAATCAATGGCTCTTTGCTGGTGAAGCCCCGGAAATTGATCAAAAGACGCGCATTATTCTCTTTACACCCTGTTTTCTTTTCTTTACATAAAATGTGTCGTCGGTGTGTCATGATCTCAAAAAAACGTCATCAAAATTTTCAAGTTTTGAGGTGATTTTTAAGTGATTGAACGTCTTCCTTAGCTTTTTATAATTACAACATCCGGAACCTACGTTTTTTGGCTGCTTTTTTGGCTGCTTCTTTGGTGCCAAACTCATTTGAAATTATGTAAATTGGAGATAATCTCTCGTTAGCCTAAAAAAATAGCATTCCTAAAAAGTAGTTCTAGTTAGTTTTCAAAAAGCTAGAATACCTATTTAAAGATTTTCAAATAGGTATTCTAGCTTTTTATTTTTAAAAGCAAGTTCATCGCGGCAAAAGCGGCAATAATTGTGGGAACATTTCTTTTCCGGAAACGAAAAATAGATGGGAAAACAATCGTTTTGCTTGAATTTTCGAATTGCGGCTGATTGCGGCTCAATTTAGAGTCAATTTCCAGATAAAACCGCCGATCAGACCTGCAGAGATATGCAAGTATGCTGATCACAAAAATGCTGATCACAAAACGTCCTTGAAATTCTCGCGAATTTGATTTGATTCTTTTTTCATAAATTGCATTCTTTCAGCTTTTATTTGTGCCTATTTTGTAGAATATTTTATGTTTAATTTTAACTGCTCGAATAAAATAAGAACCAAATATTAGTTTGCCCACAGAAAAGGCTTACAAAAACATACATAAAGTAACATTATAACCTGTAATATTGGGTTGATGGAAAAGTCCTTTCGGATTTTTTGGGAGAGTACCTTAAATTTGTCCAATTTTGACGTCTTATAGCTCATCCTAAAGCTGAATTCAAGAAGGATCGATTGGTAAAACCGTTTTGAGATATCTCTTTTCTAAAAGTTTTTACAGCTATTTTAGTAAAGGGCGGCAGAGCCAAAAAATCGCTGTTTTCACGTTTCGTTAGTTTTCCGTGCAGAAAATCGGAAACTTTGCCTCACCCTCCTTACTCCCCGGACATGGCACCCTCCGTTTTTAGCCTAGATTTAGCCATACATAAAGTAACATTATAACCTGTAATAGTTTAACAGAATCAAGAATTTATAGAAAAATCTTAACAAGTCGCTTAAAATCAAAAATTTGAGGCGTCCGGGGAGCGGGAGCCGGCTCAGTCGCTCACCGCTTTTTGCCCGTTACAGATTCCAAAAGGTAAGCACCTTATACCAAGAGGTTTGCTAGATGACGAGCGATCGCGCACAAAGAACACCTCGCCAGTCATTTACATAGCGAATTCTCTCTTGTTTTGTTGATAGTAGAAAAAGAAGATATTCAGGTGTAAATTTGTACCCAAGGGTTTTCGGGATCGTTGAATCGATTGAAGTTATTCATTTCTACATAAAACTTCATCAAAAAATATCATATTACTGCACCTACCTGCCGATAATTTGGTTTCAATGAGGATCGGTCCTAATTTGGACCTCTCCTTTAATCCGACTAAAGGGAAAGGTAAATTGATTCAAAATTTTGAGCTTTCAAGAATCTAGACCAAGAATCGGTTTTGCTTCTTCCAAGAAAGCTTAACGAGCCCCTGCTGAGTCTCACCGTTCACTTGGACCAATTATGACAATGTCACTCGAAAAAATCAATGACTCTTTGCTGGTGAGTTTGTGACAAACTCAATTTATTCGATCTCCATGTCAAGAACATCTTTTTACCGAGATGAAATCGTGACTAGAATTGTTTTAAAAAGCCAAAAAGGTACCAAGAACAAAGCCAAGCCAAAAATCGTCAGATATGGTTAACCAAAAATATGGTTAACGTCAGATATAGTTAACCAAAGACCACCAGGAATCAGAATCAGAGAAATCCAGACCAGAAACCAGTTAAGAACCTTGCTTCCGACTTGTTGAATAGAGTAGAGACTGATTTTGTACCATTCTTCTTCATCTTTAGATCATCTTCACTTCGCGATCTTTTGCAAATCACTTTTGCTCCTTCCCCCCAATCCAACTGATTCGATTTCATGAATTGAATGAGCTCAAAGAAGTTTTGACTCTTGAAATTTCTTTTCGTTCATGATGACGGAAGAAAAAGAATCGGGAAAAATCTTTTGCGTTCGATGTTTTGACGCTGCAAAATTCCGTTACCACAATAAAAGATTTGGTTTAAATTTTGCTGAAAATCTTCCGGAATTCATTTCTTTCGCCGAAATGCTTGCCGTCTTTTGGATATTCGTTTGTCATCTCGCAGTGGAAGCACTTGGGCAATATGGACAGCAACAGCAAGCGGTAAGGACAGCAAGCAGCAACAACTCAACAAACTTCAATCTTTATGGAAACTTTTGAGGCTCGCAAGTCGTTTAGCGCTCTCAAAATAGGTTTATGAAAAAATCTATAAAGCATTGCCTAGGAGTTGGAACAAATTTGACTTTCTAGCCTATTTTTACAGTTTCCTAAAATTTTATATTCCGAAAATCGATTCAAATCTGAAATTCAAATCCGAATCTGAACTCGATCATCAAATTTGACCAAAAGAAGTCAAAAGCTAGTTGTTCTCGTTTAACGATCAGAAAGTTTTCACCATTTTAACAGTTTTCGAATCTACAGAATGTCAGAATCAGATTTCGGTTTTGATTCTTTCAAGAAAGCTTAACGAGAGTTTGTGACAAACGCAATTTATTCGATCTCCATGTCACAGGCGTTTCTAGACAAGCAACAGCGCAAAAGGCAATAATAGGCAATTTGAAAAAAGTAACTTAAAGTTGCCGATACCGATTGCCGAAAATCGATTCATCGGGACTCGAGCACCAAATTTCATCAGTTGTTCTTTTTTAAGTCAACAAGTCGGAAGCAAGGTGCTTAACTGGTTTCTGGCCTGGATTTCTCTGATTCTGATTCCTGGTGGTCTGACTTAGTTTTTTGGTTAACCATATCTGTGGTCAGGATTCACTTTTTGCATCCACATTCATTTAAAATTTGTCAGTTTGACCGGACATTTCTGGACTGTGAAATTTGTTGGAAAATTCAAAGATAAACTAAACTATTATAGTCATTAAAAAGCCCTGAATCTCCTCTTGAAAACTAGTATAAAGTTGGCGAGAACTTTCTGCGAAACAAATAACAAAATTCTTAAAAAACTTGAGTTAATACAAAAATTAATCGTCATTAGTACGGTCCACAGGTGGATTATCGTGAATGTGTTCAAGTTACAACAAAATGTTTTGCTTTCGTTGAAAAGTTACATTTTTTGAGCAAAATCTGGAAACTCTCAACTGTTTTCAAGTTTCACAATAAACTTTTCAGATAAACTTGAGATTTAAGTACATCTGAGTTTTGATCTCATCATCCATACATAAAAAAAAACGTTGAAAACATTTGAATCTAATTAGATGAAGCTTCAGATTAGTAATTGATCAAATCACGGAATTTGCTATGGGAAACTTTTACACAACTTTCATTTTCAGCCACCCAGCTATTCTCCAAGCTACAGCCCATCTCTTCCCTACTCAACGCCGTGTAGGTTTTTGAAAGATAGACTTGAAATTGACTTTTTTGATCTAAGATTTAAGAGCTGAGATCAAAAACTAGATCTAAAACTTTATAGACTACCCAGAGCCAATGTACTATGATGATTCGTCAAGCAGCAGCAGCAGCAGCGAGGAACACAAGTGCAGCGCGAAGAAAGTCGAACACGCTCGATGCCCGAAAAGATTGAGAAGCGATGGGACCAAATGCAAAGCTCCAAGCACACGGTTTGTGATGTTCTAAAGTCTTAAATGAAAGATCTGGCCTTCATATATTGGATTGGTGAATTGAAAACTGCGGGACTTTGAACCTCGAACTAAAATTCATAAAATTCAATTCATTCCAGATAATTTCCATTATTATTGACGACTTCTGCCCATTTTACAGGCAATTTGCGGATTCCTCTTTCGTAGTAGGATTTTGGTTTTGAATCGAAAAACTTTTCGAGCCAATTTTTGACTGCTTTCTTCATCGAAGTGTTCTCCCGCAAGCTCATTACTCATGGTCCGGAATAAATAGTAATCAGAAGGGGCAAGGTCCGGACTGTATGGGGGATGTGCCAAAAGTTCCCAACGAAGGCTGTTTATTTTAGAGCGAATCAGTTTTGCAACATGAGGGCGCGCGTTGTCGGAGGAGAACGATCTTTGACTTGAAGGGCCTATTCCTCTTTAGGGATTCATTCACCTTTTCCAACTGTTCACTGTATTTGATTGCATTAAGGGTCGTCTTGTTATCCAGCAACTTCCAGTACACCACTCCCTCCATATCCCAAAGTGCTCAAACCGTGACATATGAAAATACGATTTTGGTCTGTGTGTGAGACAAGTGTGACACTCAAAAATGGAGGACTGGAGATGTCAGCTGTCAGCCCAGTTTGAGCACTTTCTTCAAAAGAAACCCATTTTGGTGTCAATAGAAAAGTTGTAGAGAATCAAAAATTAGGCTTATAGCCAAATTTCCAAAAAGATACACTTAGTAGTTTCGCTTAAAATGCAAATTTTGTGAAAATTCGTAAATTTAGCATTTCTTGAAAATCGGTTTTTGAATCGTTCTGAAAATTAGGATATAAGCTTGATTTTTGATTCTCTACAACTTTTCCATTGACACCAAAATGGGTTTCTTTTGAAGAAAGTGCTCAAACTGTCACATCTGACAATAGCCCGCAGTTTTCAATTCACCAACCCAATAAATCATCACATACATCTCAATTCTTTGTATGTTATTGTATGCTAGATCTGAATTCTATGATGTTTAGTCGCGTCGAGATGAACGACAAGGACTATTTGGAGGTGACATGCAAAGCCGGCAAAACGTGGACCGCTCTTGTCACCAAGTCAGGAAAGGTGGGATTGGTTCTGAAGTTCTGAAGTTCTGAAGCTAGTAGAAATTCAACAGACAGCTCAAAGTTTTACCAAAGTACAGCTAAAACCCAAAGGAGCTAAGGTAAACATAAATTATATCGTTTTCAGATAATCACTGTTTCTCGTGGAAAATTGGAACACGTTTTGACTTGCAAAGGGTCAGTTATTTAAAGCTTTCTAGAATCCATGTCTTTTAGAAAGCCTGGGCTTTCTAAAAGACATAGATCCTAGAAATTTTATATAGCATAACCAAAAAACTCTATTTTTGACTATTTCTGACAAATTTTGACCACGTTTTTATCAATCGAATCATTCGAGAGTTGAGATTTGAAAAGAAACAAAGCAATGTGAAGAACTGATTTTGCAATTTTTCAATTCCTTGAGCAACAATTTGTACTTTCAGTGACGACTGGAAGACTTACACCTATTCCGGAAAGCGGATCAACGCCAACCATGTCTTCTGCGTTCAAGGAGGTACAAAAATCTTGCTTTTTTTTGGTTCTAATTTGAAATTTTTAGCTCTTGTCGACGATTTCCTCAACGGGGTATTCATTCTTTTGTTTATACAAAGCAAATCTTTAGCTCAAAAGTCTCATCTCAGTCTCAAAGTTTTTAGAAATCGACAACAACGACGACTACCGCTTCACCAACCAAGCCAGGTACTATTTATACTTTTAACTTCAATATTTTACGGTATACTGTGTCAAAATAGATGCTTAAATCTAAATTAAACTAAATTATTAGGTTGTTCGGATATAAACGAGCGTTTTAGTAGTCGACAAAATTTACCTTAGAAACAAAAACAACACAGTTTAATCCAAAGTATATTCACCATTATTATTGATTACTTCTTGCCATCTTTTGCGCAAAGAATTGATGCCGCTCTTGAAAAACTCAGCCGACTGTGACTCGAAAAACTTGGCGACCCAATTTTGGACATCTTCACGGTTTTTGAATTTTTCATTGGCCAAAAAGTTTTGAATCGACCGGAATCAAAGGTAATCTAAGGGAGCCAAATCGCGATACGGCGGATGTGGTAAAACCTCCCATCCTAGATTCTCCAGTGTTTGCTGAGTCATTTTTGCAAGGTGAGGTCTAGCGTTATTATGGATGAACTTTATCTTTGATGTGTCTACTCCTTGACGAATGAGAGTTTCATTGACCCGATCAAGTTGCTGTTTGTAGAGATCGGATGTGACTGTTTGACCGGGTTGTAGAAGTTGGAAATACACAAGGACCTTGTTATTCCACCATACTAAGAGCATGATCTTTTTTCCATGCATGTCCGGTTTCACGGTCGGATTTGGCCGTTCTCCTGGTCCTAGTCATTTCCGTTTTCGACTAGTATTATCGAAATGAATCCACTTCTCATCTCCAGTAACGAGAGAATCAAAAAAGTCATGATATTTAGCGTGGCGGATGAGGATTCCGGGAATAGCGACCCGTGAAGCCTTGTTTGCACTGCTTAACTTGTGAGGAAGCCATTTCCCGCATCTGATCGCCTTTCCAAGGGCGTGGGGATGCTCATCAATGGTAGAATTTGAACATAGAAACTATTGAGCAAGTTCGCGCGTCGTTTGACATGGATCTGATTCGATTGCAGCCCTCAAAATACCGCTTGAGGTCGACGAGAGTGTTCATGCTCCTCGAGACTTTCATCACCGTTCCGAAAGCGTTGGAACCAGGCTCGGCATCGGCTTTCGAACAATACATCATTCCCAAATGCTTTGACCAAATCTCGATGGGATTCCGCGACTGTTTTGTCCAGTTTGAAGTCGTAAAGTAGGCTTATTGATAAGTAAAGTAGACGCGAACTTGATTTATTTGAAGTCGATCATCTAAAGCAAGAAAAAAGCTCTTAAAAATAAGAAATTATCCGTTTAAAAAAATTCCAAATATACACAAGATAACGTACTTTTAAATACAGAAAGACATGTTTTAAAAGCTTCTCTCAAAAAAAATTTTTTAGCAACGATTGTTTATATCCGAACAACCTAATAGATCTAAATTAGATCTAAATTAGCTCTAAATTAGCTCTAAATCTCAATTTTCTAATTGAATTTAACTTTTCAGTTTGTCAAACCTGTGCCTCACTTCCTATCACGCTCGAGGACAACGGATTCTCACCGGCGCCTACTTTTACGTGAGTAAAAGTTGTAAATTCTACTGATTAAATCATTTAAACTTTAAAATACAAAATTTTTGCAAGAGTTCATTGAAAATTTCATGTTCTTTTTGGGGTATTAAAGAGTAAGTAACCTAACTTTTGAAACAGACTTTTGAGTTGAATTTTATCTTCGCAAGAATGATTATTTCCTCAAATGATTATCGGAAGATTAATCTATTCCAAAAATCAATCATATTTCTAGCTTCTACGATGGCCCACGCGGAAAGCAATGCACAAAAGAAACGCTATTCTGTTCGGCTCCCACAACGGGAGAAAAGGGAAAATGGATCGTCGAGTATTGGGGAGATGTTGGTTCTTGTGCTAACAATCAAGATTTTTTAAAAACTCAGCACTAGATTGAGCACATATCTTCCTATTTTGACACCGTTAAAGTCATTTTAGAAGCCATCGAACACCGAGGGACCGAGCTGCTCCGAGAGACTCAACTTGTACTGCGACGAGAAAGCACACTGGAAACACGATGTGGGTTTTGATGAAAATTTTGAGACTTTGTTTAGATGACTCTTTTCGTTCGAACAGTTCCTAGGAAAGCTACAATAATCTCACTTTAGTAATTTTATACAGTAATTAGTAAGTTCTGTTACCTAAAGTTGGCCTTAAAAACTGAATTTTGTTTCAGCTTAATGAAGAATATCATAGAAAAATAGTAGAACTTTTAAACTATCTAGTAGCGAGGTTTTAATGGGATAGGAATAGAATACTAGAATGGGATAGGAATAGAATGGGATAGGAATAGAATTCTAGAATGGGATAGGAATAGAATGGAATAGGAATAGACTGGGATAGGAATAGAATACTAGAACGGGATAGGAATAGAATTCTAGAATAGATACAATTCTTGATTCAGTTTCTTCAATCGTAGAAAATTGTAGAAATTTTACGCTCGTAGAAACATTTTATTTGACTCTTTTTATATGTTTTTATTCCATATTCATAAAAGAAGCTTTAAAAAATCCAAAGTTGATTGGGATTTGCCTTAAGAATCTACAAACGCAGTAGGTGACGTGACAGAACTTTTGGTGCACCCTGTGGATTTAAAACTAAATGTACTCTAGAAGCTCAACCACGAAGTTTAGCCACGATCGGAAAGCAGACTCACAATCAGTTTACGCAAATTTTTAGTGGAAACACGTCAAGTCGTTGACTTGCGCGAGCGCTGGAAACCCCGGAGATTGTGCCACTACAACCACCACCACGACCACAGCTGGACCAGGCACCACAACGACGACCACCACCACTACCACGACAACCACCACCACTACCACGACAACCACCACCACTACACCAACTCCACGTAAGGGCTTTGCTTTGAATTGCTGCATATATTGCCAAACTAAACCAATGTCAAGTGAAGCTAGTCGCTGGATTTTGGCTCAATTTTGGGTTGATATGGGTTTCTGAACGGAAAACGCTTCAGCTCATCTAAGCTTTTTCGTCTTTTTGTTTTCCAGTATAGCTTATAAATTAGTCAATAATTTGTTTGTTTGTTTCTTTGTTTGTTTAATTTTCATCGAATTTAAAGGAAAATCTTTTAGTTTGCAAGTTGTGCGTCGACTTCCAGGCAAGAGACCTCTTGAACGGACAGATCTCCTCAACAATCGAGTAAGTGATTGACGTTTAAATACTGATCTAAACGTGTTATTTAAATTTATCGTTATAGTTTATAGTTTGTAAAAGTTGCCTATTGATAACCTTTAGCACCTACGAACTGAATGGAGTGAGCTGCAAAAGACAGACGCTCAACTGCGGGACGTCGACACGAGAAAAGTCAAAATGGATTGTCGTCTTCACTAGGGTTAATTTTACAAGCAGAAAAATACTCTTAAATGAAGTGTTTTTTAAACTAAACTTTTTAGGGACCCGGGGATATAGTTGGCCCATCATGCGCTCCGGACTACGAGTTGAAGTGCGACGCGACCGGAAAATGGGTCCACGATGTAAGTCGTTTGGAAATGTATCTAGATTACTTTTTTGTGCTTTACTTAAACCTTATAGATTGCATAATATTGTAAGAACTTTAGGGCAGAGAAGTGAGATCTTTGACATGCACCAGTTTCGGCTTGGACAATGTCTGCTCGACGACGACCACAACGACGACCACAACAACAACAACAACAACAACTACTACTACTACTACTACTACTACTACTACTACGACAACAACTACGACCACTACGGTGAGAGATCAGCGGGCGTAACTTACTACGCAAGTGAGGACTAGACATGGGGAAATTCGAACCCGAGCCTGGTTTCATCTTCGTTTTCTTAGCCGTCTCTTGGCTGATTGTTCTGAAATTTTGTTTATAACTAGAAATTGGTATTCTGCTTGTAGACAAAATTGCAAAGCAATCGGCCAAGAGCCAGCTGAGAAAACGAAGGTGGAATTAGGTTCGAGTTGGGATTTTCCCATGTCTAGTGAGAATTTGAGCTCTGAAAATCAAAGTTTACACTCACATTTGCGTAGTAAGCTATTGGGTTTGGGGTGTAAAAACCAATTTTGCTTTACAAAAATATCGGAAAGCAGTATCATCTTTAATGAAATTTTGTTTCTCTAACTATTTACTTTATCTTTTTCTGGATTTGGAACGGGAAAATGGAGTTTTCTACTTGTAAAGTCAGATGTCTCAGTCTTTACACCTTTTACCTGGCCCTGGCTATAAAAGTTGAATATCTTTCCGTGCTATTAGACAACTACCACAACCACGACTACTACGACCACGACTACTACGACTACTACGACTACTACGACTACAACCACCACAACAACGGTAGTAGTCTAATAGCACGGAACAAATCTATTGGATTAGTCTGGCTTTTGCTTCAAACCCTTTTTGATTTGATGAGTACATACTGTTCTATGGTATTAGACTACTACCACAACGACAACCACCACAACGACAACTACCACAACCACGACTACTACGACTACAACCACCACAACAACGGTAGTAGTCTAATAGCACGGAACAGATCTATTGGATACAGAGAGATCTATTGGATTAGCCTGACTTTTGCTTCAATACCTTTTTGATTTGATGAGTACATATTGTTTTATGGTATTAGACTACTACAACAACGACAACAACAACCACTACGACTACTACCACAACGGTACTGAGATTGGGATCTTATTAGGAATCTTGGACTCATTACTTCCAAACAGGACTTAAAGCCAATTTGGAATTGAGCAATCCTTTTCTGCAAGTTAAGTTTTATAACAGTTTCACCACAATGGTGCTTCTTGGGGGAAATTTTGGCTAGTCTTGATCAAATAGGCTTTGAGTCCGAATTCGGTGGATTTTGTCCTATAAATCTTGAGCCTAAGAATTTGGAAGCCTAACCACCGTAACTATTAGACTACTACAACAACCACAACGACCACCACGACGACGACGACAACTACAACTACAACAACCACGACGGTACTAGTCTAAAGTGGTCTATGCCAAACTTAAAGGGGTAGTGGGTGATGCTGCTTTCCTGCTAGAAAACTATGGGGGCTGGAAGGTAAATTCTGTCCGTTCTGTATGTTTTCCTTCTCGGTAAGAGGAAAAATCGTTTAATTCAGACAGTTTTGAAGTTGTTTTTAAAGTTTAAAGTTTTTTAAAGTAGAGGTTCTTAAACTCCACCAATTTACACATGGTATGGCTCATTCGAAAGCTGAATTCAAGGCGGAAAAAAAGAGGAAAAACCGCTTTTGAATTCGTACAGTTTTGCAGTTTCTACACGCGTTTTAATGAGTTCAGTCAGCTCCAAAAAAGTGCCGAAATTGCGTTTCAATAGTTTTTTGTTTGGCAACATAGGCTAAAAAGAAATTATTTGTATTAAGCGCATTAAATTACTCTTAGAAACTCATTTTTATAATTTTCGCAAAAAAAAAATCAAAGTTTTTGCACGAGCCGGAATCGAACCCTTGACCTTTTGGGTAGTAGCTGTCGGGCCGTTTTTTTGCCCGTCTTCTTTGCGGATTTTCATCACTTTTCTTCTCTTTCCAATGAAAATCGTGGATTTTTGTTTATTCTTATTTTTGAGGTAAAATGTGCAGACAAAAGAAGAAAGTGAAGAAAAGAGGCAAAAAAAAAATGTTGCCAAACAAAAAACTATTGAAACGCAATTTCGGCACTTTTTTGGAGCTGACTGAGCTCATTAAAACGCGTGTAGAAACTTCAAAACTGTACGAATTCAAAAGCGGCTTTTCCTCTTTTTTCCGCCTTGAATTCAGCTTTCGAATGAGCCATACCATGTGTAAATTGGTGGAGTTTAAGAACCTCTCCCAAAAAAGCGGACAAAACCTTACCTTTCAATCCAATAATATACAAAAGTAATATTAGACTACAACCACTACCACAACAACGACCACAACAACTACGACAACAACGACCACTACAACGGGCAAAAGTGAGTTGATTGCATTTACGGATTAAGCAGCGGTGGCGCAGTCGGGATCGTGCTTGTCTACGGCCCATACGATCCGGGTTCGATTCCCGTATGGTCCTAACTTTCACTTTTTAAAAAACTTTTTGAGAATCGCACAACTAGAATATATTATAAGGTTTTCTAAAGAAGTTTTGGCTTTTTTGGTGAAAATATGGCTGAGGAAATACCTGTACAGACAGAGAAACAGGCAAACAGACAGACAAACAGACAGACAGACAAACAGACAGACAGACACTGCTCTTTTAGTATATAGTAGGTTTTTATATTCTTCTGTGAGTTAAAAGTCTAAACTATTTTATTTAAGTAATTAAAAATGATAGCGTAATCGGTTGAAACCTTGATTCAAGGAGCTCTTTTTTAGCTTTCCAAATGGAATTTCATTTTCAGAGTGCAGTCTCTGTACCCCGATCACCCCGACAAACAAAGACCCCCAAGCCCAATCCACACAGACTACCAGCCTGTAAGTGATTGCACATCTTTCTTCTACTTCAAAGTAAGCTAACCAATACAGTATCATAAATTGTGATATCAAAATTGACTTGTCAAATTTCGACATGCTAAATTAAACCCTTTTGAGAAAAGTTGCTTTAGAAACGGTGATGGCTGCTTGACGGAAACTGCGACTTGTTGGAATGTGGACCGCTCAAAGAGGGCTATGATCAAGCCGGTTGGTTTTTGAAACAAAGACTGTGTTTTCTAAATCGTGTTAACTTTCTGCCGTAAGTGTCTCCATTTAATTAATTACAAAAATTTCAGGACACGGACAGCACGGGTGCCGATTGCCCGGCCGTTTACACGATCACCTGTGACAATAACGGCAACTGGATCGGCAGGAATCGGGTGAGATGTAGAAAATTTTGAAAATTTAGGAATGATTGAAAAACTCATAACTTTAAACTTTCTAGGATCTCATTCTAACACTGTGAAACTTTTTGAAATTTTAGCAAAGAGTCACCAAACTCGATTGCCATTCGAACAACGGTCGATGCATTGGATGAAAATCAGTTTTCTAATAAATCTCTATTTAACTTTTTTTTCAAATGTTGATTACACATCGAAATTGCATAATTTTAAGTTTAGATTGAAAACTGGCTTGATAAAAGGTGAACTGAAAAGTCAATTGGCTCACAAAAACATTTAAAGTTTGGGCCTTTCGACTCAAAATTGATCACAGGAGAATAAAGGATACTTTTTCTAAAAGGTGAAGAAGTTTCCAAATGATAAGTTAGGGCCAAGACTTAGCAAATCTTGTTCAGTTTTTTTGCGCTGATTCCGATGGCATATGTCGGTTGGGGATGACGGTTCTTTTTGAGATTTTTCTCTTCAAAGTTTACGTCAAAATTGAGTCTTCACCGAGGTGTAAATCCAAAAGAATCTCTAGAGCCCCTGCTGGTTAAGCAAAATAGTTCAAAAAACACCCACACCCAAGAAAACACGGAACAGGCAAAAAAACAAAATAAGCGCCAAAAGGGTACCAAAGCCCAGTTAGGCAGGAACGGAACGCATTTAGGCGGGGGGGGGTGTAAAAAAGACTCTAATAAGATACGGAGCTCTTCTAAGCGCTGGTTAATGCTAATAATATGTGTTATATCTCAAAATATCACCCACCCACACCTCAACCGAAATACGCCATCGGAATCAGCGCAAAAAACCTAACAAAATTTGCTAAGTCTTGGCCCAAAACCAGGGTCTAAATCCAAAATCTCTATTTAACTTTTTTTCAAATGTTGATTACAAATCAAAATTGCACAGTTTTAAGTTTAGATTGGAAACTGGCTTGATAAAAGGTGAACTGAAAAGTCAATTGGCTCACAAAAACATTTAAAGTTTGGGCCTCTTGACTCAAAATTGATCACAGGAAAATAAAAGATACGTTTTCTAAAAGGTGAAGAAATTTCAAAATGAGAAGTAATCTTTTATTCAGGTTTTCGTTAATATACCGTAAAAGTTCGAATATACGTCCATGCTCCAATAGACGTACAATCTAGAGAGCACTTGAAAAATAGAAGTACATGCTTCAATAAACGTATCCTTCTTTCTAAATTGCGCTCTTTTTATTAGGTTATTCGGATATAAACAATCGTTGCTAAAATTTTTTTTTGAGAGAAGCTTTTAAAACATGTCTTTCTGTATTTAAAAGTACGTTATCTTGTGTATATTTGGAATTTTTTTAAACGGATAATTTCTTATTTTTAAGAGCTTTTTTCTTGCTTTGGGTGACCGATTTCAGATATCAAGTTCGCGTCTGCCTACTTTACGACTTCAAACTGGGCAAAACAGCCGCGGAATCCCATCGAGATTTGGTCAAAGCATTTGGGAATGATGTATTGTCCGAAAGCCGATGCCGAGCCTGGTTCCAACGCTTTCGGAATGGTGATGAAAGTCTCGAGGATGATGAACACTCTCGTCGACCTCAAACAGTAGACAACGATATTTTGAGGGCTGCAATCGAATCGGATCCATGTCAAACGACGCGCGAACTTGCTCAACAGTTTTTATGTTCAAATTCTATCATTGATGAGCATCTCCACGCCATTGGAAAGACGATCAGATGCGGGAAATGGCTTCCTCACGAGTTAAGCAGTGCAAAAAAGGCTTCACGGGTCGCTATTGCCGGAATCCTCATCCGCCACGCTAAATATCATGGCTTTTTTAATTCTCTCGTTACTGGAGATGAGAAGTGGATCCATTTCGATAATACTATTCGAAAACGGAAATGACTAGGATTAGGAGAACGGCCAAATCCGACCGTGAAACCGGACATGCATTGAAAAAAGGTCATGCTCTCAGTATGGTGGAATAACAAGGTCCTTGTGTATTTCGAACTTCTACAACCCGGCCAAACAGTCACATCCGACCTCTACAAACAGCAACTTGTTCGGGTCAATGAAGCTCTCATTCGTTCAGGAGTAGACACATCAAAGATAAAGTTCATCCATAACAACGCTAGACCTCACGTTGCAAAAATGACTCAGCAAAAACTAGAGAATCTAGGATGGAAGGTTTTACCACATCCGCCGTATGCTCCCGATTTGGCTCCCTTAGATTACCTTTGATTCCGGTCGATTCAAAACTTTTTGGCCAACGAAAAATTCAAAAACCGTGAAGATGTCCAAAATTGGGTCGCCAAGTTTTTCGAGCCACAGTCGGCTGAGTTTTTCAAGAGCGGCATCAATTCTTTGCGCAAAAGATGGCAAGAAGTAATCAATAATAATGGTGAATATACTTTGGATTAAACTGTGTTGTTTTTGTTTCTAAGGTAAATTCTCATGTTGCAAAACTGACTCGCTCTAAAATAAATAGCCTTGTTTGGGAACTTTTGGCGCATTCCCCATACAGTCCGGACCTCGCCCCTTTTGATTACTATTTATTCCGGATCATGAGCTTGCGGGAGAACACTTCGATTCGGAAGAAGCAGTCAAAAATTCGCTCGAAAAGTTTTTCGATTCAAAACCAAGATCCTACTACGAAAGAGGAATCCGCAGATTGCTTGTAAAATGGGCAGAAGTCGTCAATAATAATGAAAATTATTTGGAATGAATTCATGGTTTTATGTTCAATAAATTTTATTTCAAAGCTCAAAGTCCCGCAATTTTCAATTCACCAATTCAATAGTTTGGATCACAACAAAATATAAGTGCATGCTCTATTAGACGTACACTCTAGAGGGTACTTGAAAAATAAACGCACATGTTAGAAGTTTTACGGTATTAATTTTGATTCCATTCAATTCACAGCTGAATTCCTCGACGAGTTTGCTAGAGCCCGGTTTTGTTGTGACAGATTTCGGCTTTGCGAGTTTGCCGTCGAACTCGCTGCCAAGCTTTCAACATCTGAAACTCAGCGGTCTTCCCTTTTTTCTTTTTCTTTTCTACTCACTGATGATCTTTTTCTTTTTCTTCGAAATGAAGTCCAAAATCGCTTCTCGGTGAGCAAAATACAGAGTGTTCAGCGAGCTCATCATCGTGTTTCCCATGTAAATCGGGACGATGACTTGATTGAGAACTAGACTTGGCTAACGAGAGTTAACGAGAAAAATGGATCGCGCAACTCCACGCGCTTGATCTGGCCTCCAGAGTATCGGATTTCTATGAACTTTTTCTTATTTAAAAGCCAAACTTTAAGCTATCTAATGATACATATCACTAATATCTTTCTTTTGAAAAAGTGTGTTAAAAAACTTATCGAGATTTAACGAGATAACATGGAACTCTAGGCGCTTAATCTAACCTCTAGATAACGAGACAATTCCAGAATAACATGGAATTGTCTCGTTAAGTCTCGATAAGGTTTTTAATCCACTTTTTCAAAAGAAATTTATAAGTGATATGTATTATTAGATAGCTTAAAGTCTTTTAAATAAGAAAAAGTTCATTGAAATCCGAGACTCTGGAGGTTAGATTAAGCGCCTAGAGTTGCGCGATCCATTTGTCTCTTTAACTCTCGTTAGCCAAGTCTATTGAGAATTGGAGAATTATATGAGAATCAAGCAAAGTATTCACTTTCTGTTTGCAGAGTGATGCCAAAAGATCCCTTCAGTATTAAAACAAAACCAATGAGGCTACAGAGAATTGTGATTGTTGCGTAGAGTGGAATGGTCTGAATTACTGATTAAACTAGGGTTTTTCCCAGAAGAGTGGATGTTTTCTAAATCTACCGTAGTCTTTCCTTAAGGTTTTGTCCTTAAGATGATGATGTTTCTTCCAATTAACTACTTCTAGAACTTGTAGTAGTGCAAGACCAGACAAGGCAAGGAATTCAAGGTCAGAAAATGGATTTTTAACTTGATCCTGGCATGGATCCTTTGCCTTAATCCAAAACTGGTTTTGAAACAATCTATCTATAAAGCTTACCGTCAAAACCGTTGAGATAACAGCCGTTTTATGGAGTTGTCGAGTTTTCCAGCTATAAGTCCGATCGTGATCAAGAAAGAAGAAAATCCTAATCAATTTTGTTTTAAATTCAAAGCGTTTCTAGCAAACTTGTGAATGAAAAAGCAACCGATTCCAAAAAGTGTCACCGCACAAGTGAACCAATAAATGATAGTCCAGAAAACGATTGATCCAACAGTGATACTCCAATAGAAAACATTGGGTTTTTGCATTAGAAGGAGAATTGGTGTCTGAAAATGGGTTTCTACTCTGTTTTATTATATTGGGGTGGTGCAAAAGAAACTGCCGATGGGTATCAGCTCTCATTTATCAGAGCCATGCTAACGGCATTATTTTTTTAATGTTTTGTTCGCATATTTGCTTGCTATTTATTTCGACATTTGAATTTTTTTGGTTGTTGTTTATTTTATTTAAAAATGCTTATATTTTTTATTTAGATCATGGTCGAGCAAAAGTTTGTGCTATGAGCAGCATTACTGTTTAACTTCAAAATTGGAAAGTCTGCTGCCGAAACGCATCGTTCTCTCGCAAGGAACCAAAAGAGAAAAGAGGACCAAATTTGTAGAGAAAAGGAACCAAGTCTGCTGCCGAGATCATGGTCAAGCAAAAGTTTGTGCTACGAGCAGCATTACTGTTTAACTTCAAAATTGGAAAGTCTGCTGCCGAATCGCATCGTTCTCTCTGTGCTGCTTTCGGAGATGGCAGTTCGTCTCTCAGACAGTGTCAGACTTGGTTTCAACGATTCCGAGAGGGAGACGAGACTTTGGAAGATTACGAGCACGGTTCGAGGCCAGAAATCGTGAACGAAGCCAAGCTGAGGGACGTTATTCAGGCCAATCCATGCCAATCTGCTCGAGATCTTGCGAAAAGATTCCATTGTGATCATGTCACCATCGAACGCCATCTCTTTTTTGAATTTACCGTCAAATCGGCAGTTTCTTTTGCACCACCCTAATAGATAGGGTTTGATCCGTATTATTATTATTTTCTAAAACCTGTAAAATTTCAAAAGCTATCGTAATTGCTAGCTTGAATTGCTGCTGTGAATTTCAGAAGCTAAAATAAGCTGTTAGGTTTAGTTCAACTCAATCTATCTTGAATCTACTTTGTGAATCTTCATAGAATGGGATTATGGTAATCTATTAGATCTAGGATTATGGTAGACTATTGAATCTAGGATTACGGTAGCTTTCAAAAGTTGGCATGTTTTAGAAAACGCTTTAGTAAAGGGATATGACTGCTAATATTATACCAGACAGACAGACAACAGATAAAACTCAAACTTGTACAGTACTTCTGAACTTTAAAAGAGTACGGTAGATCAGAACTTACAGTGCTTCAGTCCCAATATTAAAAATCGTTTAGAAATGTAGTATTTACCGGCATATTTGAATCGAATTTTAGCTGAACGTAAACAGATTGGTTGAGAAAATAATAAGCGGGTAGCGGAAATAAATGCACAAAATTGTGAATAACGTGAAATTTCCACATTTCATCGATAAACCTAAAGCTAAATTGAAACTAAAATTGGAAACTAAAGGCTAAATTCATTCAAAATCAAATTTTTACAAGTATTTCTTTCCATTTAGCAAAATGAACCGTCGCACAATCCAACCAATAATCGAAACCGCCAACATTTGAGCGCAAAACATAAACCACAACTAAAAGCTTTCAAAAAAAAATTATTTTTTGTCATACTTACCATGATATGCATTGGAGTGATACTGTAAAATGACCAAATTTCAGTAATACAAATCGCGGGATACGGTAAAAGAGGCACCAAAAAGGAGAAGTTCCCAACGAGTTCGGCAAGAAAAACAAAAGTCTAAAATGGTTGAAGATTCAGTTTATGTCGTAAAGTGAATATTTTCTACTATTGCCTGCATTTTTCTTTTCTTTTGAGTTTAACATGTGTTAATCTGAGCTCTTCATAGCTGTCGTTGGACTGCAGGGAGTGGACTACCGAGAGTTCGCGATCATTCCGAAAAATCGACAAGGACGATTTTATTTTAATTGCGTTTTTTCTTTTATCTGGATATCACACTAGTTTAGTTAGGATTGGGATTTTTGCTATTTTCACCAAAACATATTTGTACTCAATATATTCCCTGACTTCACCACTGTTCCCTGACTGTTCCCTGACTCCGTCACCGTTCCCTGACTGTTCCCTGACTTCACCACTGTTCCCTGAATGTTCCCTGACTTCACCACTGTTCCCTGACTGTTCCCTGACTTCACCACTGTTCCCTGACCGTTCCCTGACTCCGTCACTGTTCCCTGACTGTTCCCTGACTTCACCACTGTTCCCTGAATGTTCCCTGACTTGACTCCACCACTTACATGTGCTTCAAACAAAAGAAAGAATTGATAAGCTGCTGTTTTTCGACCTCGATACCAAAGTGAATAAACAACGGCTAAATAAATAAGAAAACTTGAAGCATTCATGAAATGACAATAGATTTGTGCAATGACAGCTCTGTTCGTTTCCATGAATTGCCAAAAAAAACATTAATGACTAGAAATTTTGATCTTGTTAGCTATGAATTGATTCCTTTTTGCAATTATTTAAAAGCAGCTGTTTTGTTGGAGAGCTTTTGGTAGCGCAAAATTTCACCTGACAACATTTATATTCAATCAGAGAAGTGTACATCTTACTCTGGTAGATGTTTTGATGTTAAAGAAAAATTGAATTGAAGACTGTAGCGTTTATTAAAGACTTTCAAACAAATTTGTCATGAGAACTTCAAGCTTGACTCAATTTAGGACCCACTACAACAGAAAAAGTGTAGAATGGACTTTGATTGTGCCTTTGGTTTCAATGGGCCGACATGGCCGACTGGCTAAGAGCCCCGTATCTTACTAGGGATGTTTTTGGATTTACACCTCGGTGAATACCCAATTTTGACGTAAACTTTGAAGCGAAGAATCTCAAAAATTTTAGGACCGTCATCCCCAACCGAAATAGCCAACGGAATCAGCTCAAAAAGCTGAACCAGAAAAACTAGGTCTTAGCCAAAACTGTAAATCCAATAGCATCCCTAGTTAGTCAGGATAAAACTGAAACTACCTAGATTTGAATTTAAAAGCTTTTACGAACTCAATTTCAGCAATTACAAATTAGTTCTTAACTTAAATTAGTTTCAAGATGGTTTTTCTTAAAAAGTAACCTTTTTTTTGGTGTATTAACGGAAATAAAAAAGATTAGCAAGTGATATGAAATTTTTTTTTTTACAAAATCAATCTCAATCCTCAAAAACATTCAAGTTTTAGTTTCTAATTGTTAATTGTAAGCAAAAAAACGAACAGTTTTAGCAGTTCCCCATCTCAATTCACTCTTTCAATTCAAACGTCCACTTTCATTAGCTCGTCTTTCATCAAACGCTTTGCGTGAGCTTTCGAAAAAACGTTTTAATGAAATTTCGATTAGATGCACATCAATCCATTGAGATGTTCAAGAAAAAAACAGCAAAGCACAAAAAACATTAGAGTCTAGCCTTGAAAACTTAGAAATGACATTAGGGCTTTATTAAATCTAGGTACAGTCGAAAGCCGAAAAATGAAGATTTGGAAGTGCTAAAAGAAAAGGAAGTCGAGAAATAACCAAATCAAGATTTGCTATTGAGTTGGTGAATTGAAAACTGCGGGACTTTGAACTAAAATTTATTCAACATAAAACCATCAATTCATTCGAAATAATTTCCATTATTATTGACGACTTCTGCCCATTTTACAGGCAATTTGCGGATTTCTCTTTCGTAGTAGGATTTTCGTTTTGAATCGAAAATCTTTGACTGCTTCTTCCGAATCGAAGTCTTCTCCCGCAAGCTCATTACTCATGGTCCGGAATAAATAGTACCGTATTTACTCGAATAGAAGACCGGCCTCGATTATAAGACCGTCTCGAATAGAAGACGGGGTCTAGGGGATGATCGAAAAAATACAAGACCGTCTCGAATATAAGACCGGTCTTATATTCGAGGTACCCTGTTTTCTATTCTGCGCGAAAGTGGACGTACTCAAATACGGGAAAAGAATAAGGGAATTTACCCAATAGGGTAAATATTATATTTTCATTCAATAGCACTATTTTTTTTGGTACTTGTCCGTTATACCCCGCCATTTTGACTCTGATTATTTTTAATTATTTAATTATCTGATCATTTTTTATCTAAAAACTGGCGGGGTATAACGGAAATGTGGAGTTGGCCGAGGTGTAACGGAAAAGTAACATTTTTTTAGGTTATGGGAGGTGCTACGAAAAGGAAAGCCTACAGTGCCGCCTTTAAACTCGAGGCCATTCGTTTTTCAAAAAAAAACTCAAAAGAGGCGGCTGCTCGACAGTTTAATGTGACTCCAAAGATGATTCGAGACTGGACGGCAAAAGAGGAGTCGCTGCAAAAGGAATCGAAAGGAGCGAAGCAGTTAAAAGGAGGAAGGCGAATGCTTAATTTTCGCGCGGTCGAGGAGGCCACTTATCGATGGATCAAAGAAAAACGAGAGGAAAAGCTAAAAGCTTCTCGACGTATGGTTCAGGACAAAGCCAAGGAGTTTTTTTCGCGAATCGAACCTAGATTTCACAAAGTCTTTCTCTGCAGACAATAGCCCGCAGTTTTCAATTCACCAACCCAATAGGTACAGTCGAACTGAACTTCAATAACGAATAACGAACTTCGATACAACAAATTCCAGCTTCTAAAACATACCCAAAATTTCTGCGTAGCTTTAGTAAATGGATATGACTGCTAATATTATCCCAGACAGACAGACAGACAACAGATAAAACTCAAATTTGTATAGTACTTCGGAACTTTAAAAGAATACGGTAGATTAGAACTTACAGTGCTTCAGTCCCAATATTAAAAATTGTTTAGGAAACGCTAATTGTAGTATTTACCGGCATATTTGAATCAAAAATTAGAGTCTAGCCTTTGAAAAAATTGGAAATGACATTAGGGCTTTATTAAATCTAGGTACAGTCGAACTGAACTTCGATACAATGTATTCGAAATTCTAAAACATGTCTAAAATTTCTGGGTAGCTTCAGCCAAATGCAATTAGTGGCCGTCCAGGGCAGTTACGCAGAAGATTTGATGCAGATTTTAGGTTCGTTTTAAGTTTTTGGTCCCGAGTGATTCGTTATATAGAAGTTCGACTGTATTTAAAAATTTCTGAAATCTTGAAAAGTTGAGAGAACTTCTGCGTGAATGAGATGAACTAATTCTAATAGAATTTATCCGTTTCCAACTAGAGCAAGTTATTTTCACAGTTTTTTTTAGGCTTTTCCTTGTTTCTCTAAAAAAAAAAACAAACATTAAAGCACAATTTTATCAACAAAAGCATAAAAACTAGAAGGTTTTGGCTTGATTTAATAGGCTTAAATAAGATTTATTGATTTCGGAAGCTTTGAAAGATTTAGATTTAATAAAGCTCTAATAATCCATAATATTTTAGTCTGTTGAAGCTGAAAGGTGAAAAATAAACTGAAAACTTTGGAAAATTGATGCCAAAAGTACCAATTGATGCACTTATTTCCAGTTTAAAATCGAAATTTAAATTGAATTCCCAAAAACTCGAAAAACTAAGCTAATCAGCTTCATCCAGTCAAATAGAAGCGCCGATTTTTCAAATGCAAATTGAGTTTTGACTTGTTATTGGGTTGGGGAGAATGAGTCGGCGCCGAAAATGAAAAAAATGTCTAAAACTTCTATTCGACTTCGTCAAATAATATGCGTTTGATACTCATAGAATGGTTAACTAATTCTCTACAAAATGACATTTAAAAGAAAATTCAAACAGCGCCTCCGCTCAAGAAAAAGCCATTTTTTCACAAAAACTACAAACTGTGATCTAGAAAAAACCATTGGTGGGATCTTCCTGCAAATTTGGCAACTTAAGTAATTCAATGTGCTCTATCTTTTTTATATAAACACCAAAGAAGGTTTATGTGAAAGAAACTGTTCAAATGATGAGTCGGACTCTTTGCCATTTTAACCAGCTGCGTTTGGAAGTTCATAAACTCCACGAAAGAAAAGCTTTGTGGAATCTCTTAAAAGTCATTTTGTAGAGAAATAGTGGATCCTTTTGATGAAACCAAACGTATGTTTAAAGAAGGCTTTATGTGTGCAAAAAGTCCCTTTAAAGTTTCGCGCCGACTCATTCTCCCCAACCCAATACAATAGAAAGTTACTGTTTTTAGACTACTCTTTACAGAATCTCTAATATCTAAAGATTCTAATCTATTCCCGACTTTTCTGAACCTCTAAAATTAAGTAAATCTTTTTTTTTTTTGTTTTGAATAAAAGAAATTAAAGAGCCAATGATTAGAAAAACAACGCGAATTGAGGTAGATTTCCCAGAAAACGCAATAAATCCAGAGATTTCCCCTTTGAAATTCCCTTGATTCTCGTAAATTTCACGTCGACGAGGTGGGAAATGTTTTTCTCTCATAAAAATCCACCTTTTCGAGAGAAAATTCACCTTTTCGTACTTGATTTCTGCTTCTTTTCTCTCAAAAAGATCTCTAAAGCAATAAAGTTGGTTTATCTGACCGCCCCGCCCCTTTTCCCCATTAGCAATCCAACTTTAAGCTCAAATATCTTTGTGTTGGGCTGTTCAATTTAAATATTCTTGGTATCATTTGATGCGCCAAGTCTTTCTCTGTCGATTGGTACAAAAACTATTGAAATTGGACAGCCCAACGCCAAGAAATTTAAGCTCAAAGTTGGATTGCCAATGGCAAAGGGGGCGGGGCGTTCATCTAAGCCTCTAAGCCCCGCCCCTTTTCCCATTGGCAATCTGACTTTGTGCTCAAATATCTTTGTGTTGGGCTATTCAATTTAAATATTCTTAGTATCATTGGATGCGCCAAGTCTTTCTCTGTCGATTGGTACAAATATTATTTAAATTGGACAGCCCAACACCAAGATATTTGAGCTCAAAGTTGGATTGCCAGTGGCAAAAGGGCGGGACGCGTATCATCTGTCCCATAATCATCAAGTTGGGCTCAATTTGAGATATTAGCTTTTATCTTCAATCGATAAAACTTTTCTTTTGCTTCTAGCGGACTCAATTTTTCGTCTTTCACACAGAAACACTTTGGCAAGAAAAATGAAGTTGGGAAATCCAAATCCGTCGTTAATTTTCACTTTTGAACTCAAGCCACTCAAAACTTGAGTAATTAAATCGTAATGGATAAAAAAAAGAGCAAAGCTATGCTCTATTTCTGCTTCTTATACCCAAAGGCTATGTGCCAAAATCCGCGCGATTACGTAAACATGAAAATTTTCATTGTTTTACAATGGCTTCTAGAATACGGCGCAAAAATTTTGGAATAATTTGGTTTTTTTACGCAAGAAAATTAATAACTTTGTTATTTTTCAACATTTTTGTGATTTCTCTTTATTTTTTTATGATTTCTGGGCATCTTTTGATACCAAAAGCAACAAAATCGGTCAATTAGGAAAAAAGTTTCTTTAATGTCAAAGTTGAGTACACCTCAACGTTGAGTACGTTGGCCGAAACGTAATTTCGAGTATTTGGGGGTTACTGTGGGTTAAAACCAATATTGGATTCGAATTCCCCGACCCCGAAAGCCGTCGTATATAAATTTTCAGCTTAATCTTTCCATAGATTATGTTAATTTCAAGTGAA